TTTAAAGGTTTCATTTGCCTTTCACTTAAATGTTGTTGACAACATCTGGCTCCCATTTCATAAACAGTTTTCTTCCACTTTTTTCATCCTTTTCCCCACTCGCATAGCCAAATAGTTTTCTTTTTTCCACGTTATACAGGCAGCCAGGTTCAAAGGGACAGATAACTCACACCAATCTTAGATGTTTTTCACCATTCAAGCTCACATAAGATACATTGTCAAAGGCTTTCACAGCCGGAGTTCATTAGTTGTTGTAGATTTTCCGGGCCATGGTCTTTGTATTGTAGGACCTGATGTTTCACCAGCAGCTGTGACTGCCATCCCCAGAGGTATAACACAGAAAGATGGAGTACTCTCTGTGTCACGCCTTGACAGAGAGTACTCCATCTTTCTGTGTTATACCTCTGGGGATGCCAGTCACAGCTACGGGCGAAACGTCAGGTCCTACAATGCAAAGAACACATCCATACAGCCCGGAAAATCTACAACAACTAAATCACATAAGATACCCTTATTAGCATTTCCTTTAGCACTGATCCTTTAATTCATTCCGAAATCTCTGTTTGTAGTTGAAATGTCACCGTTAAGAAACATGATTTTGTGTAGCTTATTTAAAGTCTTTACAAAACTTCTACCAGGTTTAGAGTGAATTGACTAGTAACTTGGCTGATATGTCATTTTTTTTTACATGAAATGTGTCTTATTTGAATCTGAAGTGAAGTACTTTATGCTTAACCTTGGCAAAAACAGCCAAAAATCTCTTGGTACCTTAAATTCTAACAAATCTGTTGTAGTACATGCTACATAGACAAGAGCCTTTTTTCTTCAGTCATGTATCTCTTGCTTCTGAAAGCCTGTGGCATAAGGTGGTTACTTTTGTTACATGTCAGATTAGTTGAATGCATCTCTTGTATGGAATTTGTTCTGGCAGTAGTAAGGGTCACTGAGGGACCCAGCCACACGTTTCTGAAAACGTTTCAAAAAGGTAGCTGTATTAGTTTGTTGCAGCAAATTCAAGCAGAAATCTGTTGGCACCTTTAAGACTAAATCTATTCCATATAGATTTCTGTGAGCCAGACCTCCCTTGTTCAGACTTAACGTCTCTTAAGTCTTCAAAAGAGGGAACAATGCATTGGCAGGTGGGGAGGGAGGTACCATTGGAGTACAGCAGGAGGTGAAAGTAGGAGCAAGTATCCCTAAACAGAAACGTATCATTGGCGGGACTAAAATGCCAGTGTATCAACCCTCTTTTAATTTGTTTCCTGTTCATATTACAGTTTGCGTGTCTTAACTATTGTGAATGGGTTTATCTACAATTTAGCTTACCTAGCAATTAATGGGCAGGGATGGGCATGAACTTGTTCATGAGCCAAAATTCGGCACAAATTTGACCCGGTTCGTAGCCCCCAAACTGATGTACGGGGAAAGGCACCTTTCACGAACATTTACTGGACTTTTGTCCAGTTTGGTTCGGCTATTCAGGCCATTTAAACCTAACAGCTGACAGGCGGACACACCCTGCTGTTAGGTTTAAATGGCTGTGAGCTGTTTCACTGGTCGGTTCGCTTCCTCCTGCTTTGAAGCAGGGGGGAGCAAAATGGACCGCTGGAATGGCTGTGAGCCATTTTAGTGCTCCATTTCACACTCACCCAGTTTCAAAGCTGCCAGCCTTCCCAAGCAGTCCCACCCCCTTTCTCCTGGCTGTGGCTTGCTGTGGCCGAGAGAAAGGGGGATCCAAACTGGCTGGTTCGGTTCGGGCATTTTTTTTTTTTGCCTGGTTCAGTTCATGGTTTGATTTGTGAACCACCCCGAATCCCAAACCAAGCCAGAAATTTTAGGTTTGTGCCCATCCCTAATTAGGAGCTTAACAAATGGAGCTGGAATATCTTTAGTAGTCTAGAGTCTGTTTTCAGCCTGTGGAATATGACACCAATCCCAGTTTGGAGGAGGGACAAAGAGGCTGCTAGAAGACGTTTGCTGTTTGAATTCATATGCAGAAGTTAGGGAGCTGGGAATGTTTAGCTAAAATTGAAATTTCCTTGGGTGCAGTTGCTGTTTAGGACTATGAGGCATGGGTAGTCGTCGTACTGTCTGCTATGCAAGTCTGTTTGCTTCCACTGTGTTCTGTATGTCTTTTGGTAGGTATTACAAAGAAATCATAATAATGCATCTCTAGATCCTGCTTGGAGTTTCTAAAACAATCCTTGTCCTCTGTTTAAAACTTTGGTATAGTTTCCCATGTTGTAGGAATAGGTGATTCACATTAATTTTCTTTAATTACTTGGGATCGTATCAAAGAATATGCTTCTTGTTGGAAGGAGTCTTTCCCCTACATTCTAGGCATTTATTTTGCCTACTGATAACGACTTTCTTATATTTGGAGTGCAAGAGAAGATTCTAGAGAAATCAGACCTTCTTTTTGGAAGTGGGACTCCTTAATCCAAAAATCAGGGGAATCAATCCAAAAAAGCCTATGGTATTACTTTTGACTTTCTTTTGGGCATCATGAATTGTGGGAACTGACTTTTGCTGACGTGTATTTTTCTTGCTTATCCTAGGCATTAATCCCATCAAGGTTCTATAAGATTGTCCTCTTTGAAGAGTATTTTTGGGGGAAATAATATATAAATGATAAACGGGGAGGGGGGTTTGAAAATAGTTATTGGATAAAAAGCTAATAGGTCTTAATAAACACACTTTGGTTAACCTGTAAGCTCCAAATAATACCAGAAGCATAGAATTATCAGACATATTTTCCCCAATGCTTAGTCTGTTAAAAACAGTAATAGCAAAGAACTATTCATGAGTAGAATACAACCAAACCATTCATTAATTGCTGGTTCATTCTTTTTTTAGCTCAATCATTTGCTGTCACCATAAGGATTTGTAGTTAGGTTTTCCTTCGGTCTTTATTGAAAAAAATAATTTATTCTTTTTGGGGGGGAAACATAGCACCTAGAATGATTATTTAGTTTTGTAAATCCTTAGCCGTGGAAGAATGGGGGGGGAAAGCACATGTAAATATGTCATCGAGTTAGATGTGTCTCATCTGAATTGCTTGCTTTGCTTGTTTTTTATCTTTGCTGTTTTTTCCATTGAATCTATGCTGCTTCTGTGCCACTGTTTTCCACTTTAGAAACTCCATCCCGCAACCTTGCTTCTCGTGAGCGCATTTACAAAAGTAATGATGTAGCTGGGCCTGCCTCTGCTATTTCATCTCTCTCTCACAAACTAAAGGGTGGGTACGCATGCCAATGTGGAGAGGTTGTTCAGACATTCTTAAAAGAAAAAGATGTTACCCATTCCATTCCATTCACTTTAAAAAAAAGTTTTTGCTCAGCATTCTGTTGATTTTGGATATAGCACTCTTTTAATGAGTCAGCATAAATGTGGGGGTATTTTTTTTTTAAATGACTGTGCCAGGTTACTTTACTGTGTGATAACAATAGATATATTTATTTCAGACAGTGCATCAAGAATGTGTAGAGAGAGACTTTTTATATATGATTATCCTCTTTGTTGACAGTAACATTCTGTATATTTGAATATACTGTAAATATGATTTAGGACCTGATTTTATATCAAAGCAAATAATGAATTAATATTTCATATTTTAATCACCTCTGTGATTCTGGGGTTTGGGGGGGAGAGTATAGCTAAGGAGCATTGTATGCCTTTGTATAAAACTTCTGGTTGGATCCACCGATCTGTCAGCTGAAGGTGCTGGGAAGTGCTGATTCCACCACCACCCCAACCCCCTGGCCCAGTAGTCCTTTCCAGTCTGGTTGGATCCACCGATCTGTCAACTGAAGGTGCTGGGAAGTGCTGATTCCACACACACACACCCAACCCCCTGGCCCAGTAGTCCTTTCCAGTGCAAGACAGGTGGTTCCCAGAGCTGCAAGAACTGCATAGATCTAGAGATGCATACGGGTCAGGTGGCTGCAGCAAGGAGGAGGAAGGGGGTCAAATCACTGCTCCACCCTCTTCTGTTAGCACAGGCGAGAGAAGGTGATTTCACCGCATGCCCTTCCACATTATGCCCCCTCCACAACTGTAAATCCACACAGCCCTGTGATCCCGAGAGTCAGCTTGCCCAGGGTTGGAAAGTATTGCTGAGAGAAAGGGAACGAGGGGAAGATCCGCAGTCCTTATACCCATAGTGTGCTGGGTCAGACCCATTAGGCCCATGGGAGCACGACCCTTGCCCAAACATCGTTATAAAATTTCCATTTTAGTTCCTGGATATTTCCCGTAGATTTTTGCAAGAAATTATCCAATAAACAAGATTCGGAATATTGATTCCGGGTATTGCAATCTAGATGCATCTTATCGGCAATATACTGCAGGGCATGTTAGCATCCCCCCCCCAATCCCAATTATTCTTTTCTCTGTTGTCTTTCAGGAAGTGTGGTTAAGCATATCAGCTTTTCACACGATGCATGTTAATAAGCTGCCTTAGAACATGTACACACCACTGTGGGAGGCATTTTAGATAACGGTAGGATAGTATTCAGGGATCATTCACCTCGGTCCTTCAAGGATGATCTGCATGTAGAAACCTTGTTCCATGGATGGCTACCTTCTGTGTCGGGTCGTGTGCATGCAAAACCGTGCTACATGCCCCCACATTCAGTCTCCAGGGCTGCACTGCAGCACAACTTGTTTGACTGGGGTTCCGTATTCATTCATGAAATGGTGGCTGGTGGTGTCAGGCCAGGCAGTAATGGGCACCTGCATGGAAGTGGAGATGAAGATAAAGCTCCTTGTAGATGGTCAGCACTGTCAAAGCTGATAACCGATCACCAGACTCAATCCCAGCTTGTAGGACTGAGCTCCGCTAGACGTGAATCCCTCCTTATGCCTTCTTCCTTAAGCTGTATTGTCTTTCCGATACTGAGAAATCTGAGAAATTTGTGTGGCCGTTCAGCACTGTGATTCTTGCCACTGTAAACAGACTTTTCCTTTTAATAATGCCTTTACGAAATGTATCAAAACAGGTGACAGAGTGAATTTTACTGCAGCTGCTAGACCGGTTTCTCCAGCAGGGAAATCAGACATGGCATCCAAATACAGAGCGGATAGCAGGTCGCTTAAATCCGATGGGCGCGTGAGCCACAGTGTTGGAGACCAGAAAAAGCCCAGGAATACGGAGGGCTTATCCGCTAGTGAATCTCTGATGCTGAAATCTGATACTGGGAAGCTGAGGTCAGACTCCCACAGCAGGTCGTTGTCTCCAAACCATAACACTCTGCAAACTTTAAAAACGGATGGGAGGACAACATCTGGCTTGAGAGCGGAATCTCCAGGGCCAGGTAACAGATCCTCTTCACCCAAGACTCTTTCAGCAGGTAAATCCTGTACATCTGGCGCTGGTTCTCGCCGGTCGTCTTCTCCTCACGATAAGACTCAGAAACCCTCGCCCCCCGTGAAAACAAAAATCGACCCTCCTCGGGAGAGATCTAAATCAGATTCATATACGCTGGACCCTGATAGTCTTCGCAAAAAGAAGGTGCCCCTAACAGAACCAATAAGGGGAAGGTCCACTTCTCCGAAACCAAAAATTATGTTAAAAGATGGAAAACCTGTCCCTGAAACGGACAACCGGGCCCCTTCTCCTCACGTGGTACAAGAAAATCTTCACAGTGAAGTTGTTGAAGTCTGCACTTCAAGTACCTTAAAGACAAATAGCATTACGGACAGCACCTGTGAAGATAATTCTGAGTTCAAAACCGTGGATGATAGCTCTAATAAGGTTCATTTCAGCATAGGGAAAGCGCCGCTGAAAGATGAGCAAGACATGAGAGCGTCTCCAAAAGTGAGCCGCAAATGCGCAAGCAGGCACACGAGACCAAAGAAGGAGAAGTCTGTCTGCCTTTTCAAAGGCGACGGCACCAGACCTGTAGAACCTGCCAAGCAAGCCATGTCGCCGTCTGTGGCAGAATGTGCCAGGGCTGTCTTTGCTTCTTTCCTGTGGCACGAAGGGATAGTGCATGATGCCATGGCCTGCTCCTCTTTTTTGAAATTCAACCCTGAACTCTCTAAGGAGCATGCTCCAATTCGATGCAACATGGGCCAGCAGCCAGTAGAAGAAAAAGAAACCAAGCTGAAAAACAGACATTCCCTGGAAATATCTTCCGCTCTTAATATGTTCAACATAGCCCCTCATGGGCCTGACATATCAAAAATGGGCAGCATAAATAAAAACAAAGTCCTCTCTATGCTTAAAGAGCCCCCTCTTCATGAACGATGTGAGGATGGAAAGAATGAAAGTGCCTCTTTTGAAACTTCTAGCCACCATGCCATGAAATCCAAGTCTCCTCTCCCCTTAACGCTGCAGCACCTGGTAGCCTTTTGGGAAGACATTTCTCTGGCGACCATCAAGGCAGCTTCTCAGAACATGATTTTTCCAAGCCCCGGGTCCTGTGCAGTGTTGAAGAAGAAAGAAAGTGATAAAGATAATAAGAAGTCCAAAAAGGAAAAGAAGAAAAAGGAGAAAGCGGAAGCCAGACCGAGAGGAAACCTCTTTGGCGAAATGGCTCAGCTTGCAGTAGGGGGACCAGAGAAAGATACCATCTGTGAGCTGTGTGGAGAATCCCACCCGTATCCAGTGACCTATCACATGAGACAGGCTCATCCAGGTAAGGCCAAGGATCATCACGGTTGCTAAAGTTGCTATGCACTGAGGCTTGATCCTCAGAATGTTTATCTGGAGGTGTTCCCCCAAGTTCCCTTTTTTTTAAAATTAGAGAAACATGTTGAGCTTCAAATAATTTACATGTTCTATCTGAAAGCTCTTTTGGAGAACAGCGAGTGAAGCATCCCCCCCCCTCCTTTATAATCTTGGGCCTGTTAAAGAAAACAGTAAATTACTAGAAGTGAATGGAAGCCATAGAAGCATGAAAAAAGTTTGAATTCATTCAGAGGGATCCTTTATTAAAAGAGTGCATCTGCATTCATAAAATGACCCTGAAAGATGGTTAAAGGATTTGCAAGACTGTCTTATAAGCTAGTATATTGCTACAATAACAGTCATCACCCAAACTTCTGAAGTGGTCTTTTGGATTCTGAATGTAAACATGCTTTTATCAGTGGTGTTTAACAGGTTAAGAGGATCTTCTAAATCCTGATATGCAGCCTTCCCTACTTTAAAAAAAGAAGGATTTAATATAGCATTTAGAATATGCATTGATGGGACTACAACTTTAGTACTGATGCACCACTGAAGTTTTTAGACACCATTCATTCAATGAATCCAGTACAAGAACCTTCTCTTCCAGAGATTTCCACATTTAATTCTAAGTTATAGCCCAAGTGAACTCTGCTGTAGAAATATGTTGATATACTAGTGACCTTTGCACGTGCGCACAAACCCACATGTACACTCTGAACCACATTGGTGCTGTTTCTCCAGGGTATTATCCCTCATGAATGTGGAATATTTGAATACTGTAACCATTGGGGTTTTCAGTCAGCGCCGTTCATGCCGATACAGTGCTGGTTTGGTTTGGTGCGAAAAACATGATCAGCTGATATACATACAATGTAGGCACAACACTTAGCACCAGAGAGAAGTAGCTCACATTCAGAGGAGGGAGTGTATACATGTAAGAAATAAAAGGGGAGCTATATTTGCCTCCTTACCATTTGATGTAGGTAAACTCCGTGTTCACTGGTAAGCAAATAAAAAGTTTGGCTCTTTCATAGGATGGATTTATGACAAACATGGGTATGAAAATTCCTTAGTTGCCACTATGGGCAACTGGAATTCAGTAATCAAAAAACTGAACCAAGCGGGGTGTGTGTGTGTGTGAAGTGCTGTCAAGTTTCAGCCAATTTATGGCAATCCCATAGGGAACTTGAGGCAACTGATTAAGCAGAGGAGGTTTGCCATTGCCTCCCTCTGCAGAGTCTCCCTTGGTGATCTTCCATCCAAGCACAAACCTTGCGTACCTTCCAAGATCAAACAAAATTGGGCTACACTATATCATTCCTACCGTTGCCTTCCTCTGCAGGGTCTCTCTTGGTGATCTTCCATCCAAGCACAAACCCTGCGTACCTTCCAAGATCGAACAAAATTGGGCTACACTATATCATTCCTCATCCCCGAACAAAAACACAGGATTATCTGAACAAGGACACGAACTGTGATGAGTTTTATGTAAGAAAGGGAGCAAGTGAGGCGGAGCAGTTAACATCTTGCTGTTATCAGTGCAGCTTTCTAAGCAGCTCACTTTCAGACTGCCGTCTGTTTGAGTTGTAGCGTTAGTGGTCCCTGCAGCCCCTGACCTCCTGATTGCAGGTTTTTGGCTATCCTTTTTGTCAGTAAGATATACTTACCTGCAGTTGACGATTCCAGCCAGCGTCCTAAGCCCTCTCCTGTCTGTTATCCTGAATTTAAGTGCATTTGCTCTAATATGAAACCGTTGTGTTAACTACTGAGACAGTTGTAAACGTGATCATCTGAACCTCTGAAGATCAGTCTGACACGCTTTTAAAGATGCCTGACCCTCTGAAGCACAGAGCATAGCAGTAGAAATGACAGATGCAGTAGATCTCAACCTAAGACATGTTTTTTCGTGATTTAAGGGTGTGGCCGGTATGCAGGTGGACAAGGCTATAACAGCATTGGGCACTTTTGCGGTGGATGGGCTGGTAATTGTGGCGACGGCGGCATCGGAGGAAGCACATGGTATCTAGTCTGCGATCGGTGCAGAGAGAAATATCTACGTGAAAAGCAGGCAGCAGCAAGAGAAAAGGTATCTTTTTCGCCTGTTTCTTACTGTCTGTATGATGAGAGTTTGTCGTTTCACTCATCCCCCGCAGTCTGCCTTTGAAGTAATCACAGGGCCCCCTGTGAAATGTAGGACGGCTCTCTCTCGCCCCTAATGTTGCCCTCTTCAAGCGTCCTTCACAACAGGCTTGTAAAGATGCGCTTACCACATTGTTTGCGGCAACAAAGAACCATACCATGGGAAGCTTTTCTAAATTTGTTCCTCTCTTTTTTGCTTTCTTTGCCACAGTTGACCTAAAGATACGTGGCAGGCCGCTAGTGAACAAAATGTTTGAAATAATGCTTTCTGTAAGGCTTCCTTGCCCCATTTCTGACGTCTGACGTTTTTAGAACAGTAAAAGAACTTGTTTTGTTTATTTGATTCATTCATACCTTGCCTTTCTCCCCAACGGGGGACCCAAAGCAACTTACACCACTCTCCTCTGCTCCATTTTATACTCGCAAGAACCCTGTGAGGCAGATTAGGCCGAGAGAGCGTGAGTGGTCCAAGGTCATTCAGTGAGCTTCTATTGCACGAGTGAGGCTTTGAACCCAGGTCTCCTGGGTACTAGTCTGACAGTTTGGTGTAGTGGTTAAGTGCGTGGACTCTAATCTGGGAGAACTGGGTTTGATTCCCCACTCCTCCACTTGCACCTGCTGGATGACCTTGGGCAAGCCATAGTTCTGATAAGAGCTGTCCTTGAAAAAGAGCAGTTTCTGTCAGAGCTCTCTCAGCCCCACCTACCTCACAGGGTGTCTGTTGTGGGGAGGGGAAGGGAAAGGAGTTTGTCATCCGCTCTGAGACTCAGAGCAAAGGGCGGGGTATAAATCCAATCTCCTCGTCCTCTTCTTCTTTTTCTTCTTCTTCACTGCTAGATCATCCTGGGTCTCAACTTGATCTGTAGATCAGGCTCTTACAGTCACAGATTGGTTAGCTGGCATATTATTGGCCTCTTGATATTCCCATTTTCTGTGTGCGATGACAAAAGGGAGAAAAATGAAATGGGGTCTTGTTACCAGTCTTGAGTGCAACTGTATTGCACATAAGCTGACAGCTAATAATAATGAAAAGGGGACAGACAGACTAGGAGCAGGAGAGCTCCAGCGTGAAGTATTGGATCTGCTGTACCTCTCTTGGATGACAAGGATGAGCCACAACTCTCTGTAGAAATTTGTCCCTCTTTAGCGGTGGGCTGTTGAGAGCCCTTCCCTTGGGGCCTGAAGATCGTGCGGTATTTATCTATGATCCTTTTTACCTGCCTCTCTCCAGCGGCGGACTCAAAGAGTGCTCATTTGTGTCCCTTTGTAGGTCAAGCAGTCTAGGAGAAAGCCACTGCAAGTGAAGACGCCTCGTGCCTTGCCGACCATGGAGGCCCATCAAGTGATCAAAGCGAACGCACTCTTCTTGCTGGCCCTGAGCAGTGCCGCTGAGCCCAGCATCCTGTGCTACCACCCGTCCAAGCCATTCCAGTCCCAGCTTCCCAGCGTCAAGGAAGGCATCTCGGAGGACTTCCCCGTTAAAATGTCCTGTCTCTACCTCCAGACTTTAGCCAGGTTAAAAAACAGAACAGAACTTGATAAATTCCCCCCCCACCCGTGTTCAGCGCTATAAAAACAATTATGCTTTTCTAAAGCTTCTGTAGTCAGTCTCGAGCGAACTTAAGCCGGGGTCTTCAGCGTTTTTGGACCCGTGAGGACCTTTGGGATTCTGACACAGGGTGGTGGGCACAGCAACAAAATGGTTGCCAAAGGAGGCAAAGCCTGAGACAAAATGGCTGCCGCGGCTTACCTTCAGTCACACAGGGAAGATCCTTGTGCTCTGGTAGCCGCTACTGACAAAACAATATTTTTTAAAAAAATCTGCACGGCCGATCAGATATCTCATGGCCAATGAGAACCTTGCTGGGTAAAGGCCCCCCCCATCTGCCCCCCCCACTTTCTGAAAACATCTGGCGCATACCAGGAAAGTATGTTGGGGACCTGTGGGTTAAGCATTCACATGATTAATATTGTCATTTCCGTCTGCTGGAGTATTCCCAATGAAACAAGCAGTATATTACAACTATCACTAATCATTGCAATTGTCTTCCTCTGTGGGCAAATAATTCAACATAGAAGCAACCAAGACTGAGTTCTTCCAAGTGTGACTAACTGCATGTGGCTTCCAAAGTATTTTAAAATAAGGGTTTGTCCCATTTCTCTGTTTACCTTTGATCAATACACGCTCCTCCAAAGAGCTTTCGGTCTCTTCTTGGTGCTTGGTATATATTCACCCGTGAAGTTAAATCAGATTTCTGGAAGTGTAGGCTCTTGCATGTCACCTGGGAGCCGGACCAGTTGAATGGTTCAAAGCAGTGTCATCCTCAGACTCAGAAGAAGATAACCCCTCACTCAAAATGAATTCTCTGGGTGAAATCCAATTTAATCATTGCTTCCCCAGAGGGAAACGGCAAACTCAGAGACAACCCTTTTGCAGTATGGTTTCCTGACCTAGTAAAATGGTTGCTCATGCAGGCATCACATACTAGGCTTATACTCCATGTTTCCTCGCTCTGCCAGCTTGCCAACCCAAGATACGGTTACTTCTTCAGAACTCTTGCAGATCCTATTGCCTGGATTTTAATTAGGACCAGTGTTCCCTCTAAGATGGGTTAGTGTGAACCAGCTCACAGTTTGTTAGCCTCCGGCTCACACATTTATGTCTTCGCTCAGGAAGGGATGGCTCCAGAGCAAGCTAATTTATGCAGTAGCCGAATCACTCGCTCACAACTTTAATGCCAGTACCTCACACAGTAGAATTTTTGCTCGCAGGACTCCACAGCTTAGAGGGAGCATTGATTAGGACTCCAGCCGAGTGTGTAATTTTGAAAATTCCCAAGATGGATCAAAGGGTAAAAGTGCAGAGATTTAACCTGAAAAGCAGTTGTGAACAGTGAAATAGAAATTGTGTGTGTATTGGGTGGTGGTGGTGGAATTTACCGCTACTAGGGCTTGTTCATTTCTGTCATGTTTATCCATTTAGGTGGCTGGTGAAACACTGGACTGAAAGATTTGGTTTTGAGGTGACATTTCTGTACCTTATTTTCTCCAGGCATCATCATGAGAACTTTGTTGGCTATCCAGATGACAATCTCTTTCAGGATGAGATGAGATACTTGCGCTCGACTTCAGTACCTGCACCTTATATATCCGTTACTCCTGATGCCAGTCCTAATGTTTTTGAGGAGCCAGAAAGTAACATGAAATCCATGCCCCCAAGGTACCCCAGCATGTATATTAATAGGTGTTGGCATGCTAGCTACAAAGGGTTGTTTTTTTTAATGTTCAGACAGCTTTGTGGTTTATGGAGGCTGCTTCTTTGTAACCAGTTAGTTGTTGGTGGTGGGAAGTGTGATCAAGTCGCAGCGGGCTTATTGCAACTCCATAGGTTTTTCAAGGCAAGAGACATTCGGAGGTTGGCTTGCGTTGCCTGCCTCTATGTCACAACGCTGGCCTTCCTTGATCCTTCCCATTCTGTGCAGATTCCTGCCGCCCTTCGCCCTGGTTTTTTATGCCTGCACCAACGTTAATCCTGCATAAACTCAGGTCCTAATGCAAGATTTGAAATCGTTTCCTGAAGCTGGTTGCAAATCCAGAGATCATGCTTTCCCATTTGTTAACAGGGTATAGGTGTGGTCTAGGCTTACAGAACACCATTAAACTGTTAACACTGAGAAAATTTTAATTAGCCTACTGACTTATTTCCAGTTTAGAGACGAGCCCCATCACGGATACGGATCTCGCCAAACGCACCGTTTTCCAAAGGTCATATTCAGTCGTTGCCTCGGAATATGACAAGCAGCACTCCATCCTTCCTGCACGGGTCAAGGCTATCCCCAGAAGGAGAGTGAACAGTGGAGATGCCGGTAATGATACAGAATAATATACTTTCTCGTTTTGGTTTTGGTTTGTATTTGTTCCTTTTTCATGTCTCTGCTGTTTCTCTGTATAGAATGATGTTTAGATTAAGCCTGGGATTTATTCGTAGCATCAGTTTTTAAGTTTTTCTTCAAAAAGCAGACAGCCGCCCCCTGCGATATTTACTGCACCACCTATACTGGCATGGTGGACCTTTATTTCAGTAACAGGAATCCAAAGAGTATTAGGGGCATAGAAATAATTACACAGTTCTTTGGATCCTGGCTGCAATCTATGAGTATACTTCAAGAAATGGTTTCGTAATCTGTTACGAATGCATTGGTGCCGACCGTATGTCAACCTTTTAATTTCTGTTTGACCAAAATTGGAAATAAATATCAAAAAAGATTCAGAATTGAAGTCTGAACTTCAGGTGGTTTTCTTGAGCACTAAGGTGCCTGTCTTGTTATTGCCAATTAGAAATGGCACAGTTCAGATATGAGCTTGGGGGGGGGGGTTGGCTCAAGCTTGTGTGTTCCTTCCCCTCACACAAAAGCTTGATAATCGAAGATTTTTGCAGCAAAGCATTGTCATTGTTGCAAACAATGGCTTGCTCCCCTTCTTCAGATCAGGATTCTAAACTGGTTTAATTCTGGTTCTGCTCCCTCCTTGCTCAAGAAGAGGCGAGACAAGGGGATGGGGGTTATTGGTGGACCACCAAAGGAAGCCGGCTGGCATTAGCAAATGGTGTGTCCATGCATGCCAGAGGGTTGATGCTAGGATCAGCTCTTAAAATCCACTGCCCCAGTCACTTCTTTGTGGCTAAGGAGAACGAACATGGCATTCTTCCCTCAAGCATTAGTCAGCGTTGAGCAAGGAGGAGCCGAGTCAGAACACACACCTGACTGCTCTGGGCTCGGAGCCAGGTGGTCTCGCCTGCAAGACAGGGATACAGAGACAGAGGAGGCCGGACTCTCCTCCCTCCCCATCACTTACCTGCACCGTGGTTCACCTTTGTTTGAATGATTGTCGTTGGCCGTCGCAAGTCCTTGCCTTGCTGTGAATAAAGAAACGCACCCCTTTGTTCTCTCAGATAATGGCATCGGCTGTCCTCATTTCTGTGCGCACCTAACAAGCACCGTCGGTCATTCAGACATAATGGCAAACGATGGTTTGCTGCAAAAAAATAGGAGCCTGTAATTATTGAGCCATGTGTTGGTTATGGGGAGGGGGAAGACTGGAGCATGATGACAAAGCATGGTCTGTCTGAAATGCATCCTTGTGCGGCTTCAGTCCACAGCATAAAATTACTGCTTAATATGATAACCTCGTGAGCAGCGATGGATGGATGGACGGACGGACAGACAGACAGACAGAAAGACAGATAGATAGATAGATGATAGAGTTCTAGTGCAGATCATACGTAGAGTTTCTATTTTTGAATACTAATATACTAACATTTGCATAGCTGTGGAAAAAAAGTTTAACCATCTAATGTGCACATATTTTTATGCTTTTAAATAGAAGTGGGGTCCTCTCTCCTGAGACATCCGTCTCCTGAACTTTCTCGGTTAATCTCCGCCCACAGCTCTCTTTCCAAAGGAGAGAGAAATTTCCAGTGGCCGGTTCTGGCATTTGTAATCCAGCATCATGACTTGGAAGGACTTGAAATTGCAATGAAACAAGCTTTAAGAAAATCAGCATGCCGGGTCTTTGCTATGGAGGTATTTAGTGCCTGAATTCGTCTTCCACCCAAAAGTTTGCTCCAATAATAGCAGTGCTTGTCAGAAGTCCAGCCGTGTTATTCATCTTATGACAAAGCATGAGAACCATCAGGAATTCGCTCCAGTATATTTTGGATATAATGTATTCCTGCAGCCTCCGCTTTCTGCTTGTATTTATTGAATTTATTTATTAAAACATTTATATCCCTCCTTTCCCTTTGGCTTAAGGCATGACATCAGATCCTTAGAGGATAAGGTAGGAGGGTGTAAATAGAAACAGAGTGAAGGAGGGGGAAAACTATCTGAAGGGCGGGAAAGGAAATGGGAAGAGAGAGGGTTCAAAAAGCCCTATTGCAATACGGAGAGAAGAGAGCGCACTATGGGTGTCAGGAAAGAAAAGCCCATGGTCACTGTTACTACACCGCAGTTTATAATTACAGGAAAATATAAAAGTGATATCCTCTCAGCCTGACCTAACCTCTCTAGTGTATGTTTAAGTAGATTGGTTGTGGCAAGAGGTGACCAGTATTGTTCCTCAGTGTTGCATGGGCTCAGACCGTCGTTTAGGAGAGGAGAGATTGGATTTATACCCCGCCCTTCACTACCCAAAGGTAGTCTCAGAGCGGCTTACAAACTCCTTTCCCTTCCCCTCCCCACAACAGACACCCTGTGAGGTAGGTGGGGCTGAGAGAGCTCTGACAGAAACAGCTCTTTTTCAAGAACAGCTCTTATCAGAGCTACGGCTTGCCCAAGGTCATCCAGCCAGGTGCAAGTGGAGGAGTGGGGAATCAAACCCCGCTCTCCCAGATGAGAGTCCGCACACTTAACCACTACACCAAACTGGCTTTTGCCTGTCCATATCCTGTTTTGTCTTCTGGGTTATAATCACCAAGGGGTGAGGCACCTTCCACTCAGCGCCCCTTTCTTGAAATCTTCTAGATTCTGCGGAGCCAAGGGGTGAGGCACCTTTCTTGAAATCTTCTAGATTCTGCGGAGTTTCTCTGCTGATTTCAGTAGCTTTAAGGTGGAGTAGCGCTGCATAGGTTTACATTGTAAAATGCCCTAACATCTAGAATGCCATTTCTTTCCCTTTGCTCTGGTGGCACCATTGCATTGCCTTGGCAGTGTTTACGTTGCTGCCAGAAACTTGCACCTTTTCTCTAATCTTGAGACTGCTTAACAGTTGTGCATACAGTTCATTCCAGTCATCAGTGCATCCGACCTTTCCTGTCTTAGGAGGTCTTTCCAGCTCCCTACAGATTTTAGGTGATGATCTGTCTTTCAGTTTCACCGTTAAAGCCCCTCCTGTTATCTTTCTATTTCCCCCTTATCACTTCCAACCTCTGCCAGTTAACTACAGACATCTTGCAAAGGGAACATGCTGCATATATTTAAGGGCAGTTTTCTCCCTTGCTGTTAACGAGCTGACTAATCTGCATGTACTTATGACAAAGTATCCTTAGATCTTCTAAAATGTGACAGCTCCTCTTTAACTTCCCTCTGTCCTCCTTTTACTTCTAGGCTTTTAATTGGCTCCTCTGTAATGTCATTCAAACAACGTCTCTCCATGATATTCTGTGGCATTTTGTGGCTTCTCTGACTCCCGCTCCGGTGGAGCCAGAGGAAGAGGAGGATGAGGAGAACAAAGCGAATAAGGAAAACGCAGAGCAGGTAAGTCAGCACGGCCCTTGCAAGTTCTTCACTGTTCATTTCCATACAGTTGTGATCTGTTTAGAATTATTCGTTAATATGTAGGCATAGGAAATGTAATGGTTAGTCTTATCCAGTTTTTAGCATAGCTGAGGAACTGGTGCTTCTCATCTGTAGTTCCAGAGATTGGTATTGATTCTTGAAAGAGGTGTAATAATGTAGCAGGACTGATAAATTGCGTGAGGAAATGGAAAATAACATAATTATATATTTCCATATTTAGTAAGATTTGAACAATTGGTTACTGGTGGGTATGAATTTGCAGGGTCTTCCTCAGGCCTTCTTTTTCTCTTGTAAAATTACTGTATGTAGAATTGTAGTTTGCTGCTGTTAAGAACAGCTTGGGCATCAGAGGTGATTTGACTCAAATCAATTATTATACATTTTTGTATCTTTTTGTTAGCATCCCCGATATCCACCTGGTAACAGTTAAGACAGAACCCCTTGTAATTCAGTGAAGCAAAATGGAAAAATACACACAACACCCCCCCACACCACCCCGGTTTCCATTTAACAGAAGAATGGTTCTGCTGGATTAGTCACAAAGGCGCATCTAGTCCAGCATCGTGTTTCCAACAGGGCCAGCCAGTTGCTGTGAGGAAACCCTCCATCAGAGCTCCTTGTGGCCTTTGAATCTGGGGGTTCCAGTTTTCTGTTGGGTCTCTCTACAGCTGTTAACCCTTTCTTCCTTGAATTTATTAGCCAGTCCTCATCCCAATAGGATGGACACACCTTTTCTGTGACAAACTTGGCAATTTCGAAATAAACATGAATATTTATAATAATGTAATTAAAGGAGCTGCGGTGGCTCGAGTGGTTGTAATGTAATTAAACCTACATTCCAATTTATTTTGTTAAGGCTTGGGAAGATGACTGCAAAAGCTTCTCAGGGGAAGTCCAATCCATACCCCTGTGTTTATGCAAGGGAAATGTTACGCGAAGCCACTAAATCTTTGTTTAAAAGGACAGTGAACTGTAACTCATTGCTTGAATGTGCAGGAAAAAGATACAAGAGTCTGCGAACATCCGCTGTCGGACATCGTGATTGCTGGTGAAGCAGCTCATCCTTTACCCCACACTTTCCACCGTCTGCTCCAGACAATCTCCGATCTCATGATGTCCCTCCCCAGTGGAAGTTCATTGCAGCAGATGGCTCTGAGGCAAGTACTACTGGCAGAACAGCCTCTTGCACTGCGGGAGTATGCCCCCACAGGTGGGGTGCAGTTGTAGGATGTAGTCCAGGAAGCCTCTGAATCTTTGCGGAGTGAGCAGTTTCACAGAACTTTAATGCTTTTAACACACTGGTGGAACTTTTCAAAGTCTTCTGTGGAAATACAGAAACAATTAGTTTTACTCATCGTGAGGAGAGAGGTGCAAATGGCTACCCTCGGATAGTACAGTGCAACTCCTGCGTAACGGAACAAAGGCTGTCTTTCTCCGTTTATGTAAGTTCTCACGTCGTTTGCATGGATGGTTTTAAACTGGAGAAAACGGCTCTTGTCTTCCAGGTGCTGGAGCCTCAAATTCAAGCAGTCGGACCACCAGTTCCTGCACCAGAGCAACGTCTTCCACCACATCAACAACATCTTGTCCAAATCTGACGATGGAGATAGTGATAGGATGTAGTCCAGAAAGCCTCTGAATCTTTTGCAGAGTGAGCAATTTCGCAGAACTTTAACGCTTTTAACACACTGGTGGAACTTCGGACCTTCTCAAAGTCTCCTGTGGAAATACAAAAACAATTAGTTTTACTCATCGTGAGGAGAGAGGTGCAAATGGCTACCCTCGGATAGTACAGTGCAACTCCTGCGTAACGGAACAAAGGCTGTCTTTCTCTGTTTATGTAAGCGCTCACGTCGTTTGCATGGATGGTTTTAAACTGGAGAAAACGGCTCTTGTCTTCCAGGTGCTGGAGCCTCAAATTCAAGCAGTCGGACCACCAGTTCCTGCACCAGAGCAACGTCTTCCACCACATCAACAACATCTTGTCCAAATCTGACGATGGAGATAGTGAAGAGAGTTTTAGCATCAGCGTACAGTCAGGGTTTGAAGTCATGAGTCAGGCAAGTCTTACCTTCGAATACTATTGAGCATATTGAGGAGAGTAGAAGTATACAGCCACATATGTACAGCTGCCGAAAGTGTTTTTTGCTGGAATAATTTGCGTTCACGGGTGATTTTCCCCCCCTCCCCTGACCATCAAATTATTCAGAAATATTGGTTTGATAGCTTCACATAGATTCACCTGATCCTGGTTGTGTTGTCCAGTCTATGCCAGTGTCAGTAGGAGAGCCTCTGTTTCAGTTGTTTTAAGAAAACAGAAAACTTTAAAAATTCAACATAGCTTTCCCTTCCATTCTATCCCTCCTTACTTTGCTATGTTGCTTATGTACTACTTAAAATTGTCATGTGCACATTTACATGAACAAATGAGAGAGGGAAACATACTGTATAATGTTGTTTCTCTTCCTTGTCTACCATGATAGAGAAATCTGTTCTGCTTATTTGTCTCCGTATATCTCACTGTGTACACATTATCCGTCCCTTTCTCCATGGAGCTCAAGGTAGCGTACATGGGTCTCCCTTCCCCATTTTACCCTCACAATAACCCTGTGAGGTAGGTTAGTTATGTGTGTAAGGGAGACTGGTCATGCCGTGAACTTCACGGCAGCATGGTTTTGTACACAGTGGTGACTGGCATTTGTTGACTTAAGAAAACAGAAAACGTTTAAAAATTCGGCATAGCTTTCCCTTTCATTCTTACTTTGCTATGTTGCTTATATACTACTTAAAATTGTCATGTGCACATTTACATGAACAAATGAGAGAGGGAAACATACTGTATAATGTTGTTTCTCTTCCTTGTCTACCATGATAGAGAAATCTGTTCTGCTTATTTGTCTCCGTATATCTCACTGTGTACACATTATCCGTCCCTTTCTCCATGGAGCTCAAGGTAGCGTACATGGGTCTCCCTTCCCCATTTTACCCTCACAATAACCCTGTGAGGTAGGTTAGTTATGTGTGTAAGGGAGACTGGTCATGCCGTGAACTTCACGGCAGCATGGTTTTGTACACAGTGGTGACTGGCATTTGTTGACTTGCATTTGCCTCTTTGACTCTGGAACCTCATTGTTTTGACAGGAATCGTGTATAGTGGTTTGTTTAAAAGACCTGACCAGCGTCGTTGATATTAAGACATCAAGCCGGCCTGCGATGATTGGCAGCTTGACAGATGGGTCGACCGAAACCTTCTGGGAGTCAGGAGATGAAGATAAAAACAAGACTAAAAATATTACAATTAACTGTGTCAAAGGAATCAATGCTCGTTATGTGTCTGTTCATGTTGACAACTCACGAGATCTTGGGGTAAGATTTCACCCTAATTCTGTCGAAGCAAAGAACAGGAGAGCTTTCATTTTTCCCCCCTCTTGTATCATGGCATGATTTCTAAAATCATAGGTTTAGTAAAGAAGGATTTGTTAATTCATTGACTCTTGAGGGACTCCTTCATGCCTTAGTTGGCATTCTGTGCAAGCTCACAGGGAGAGAGCAGACTTGAAAAGCATGCATTATACTTAAGATACCAGTGGAGCAGATAACTTTAGTTGACTCAGGCCTGCAGCACAGTGCCCTGCTGCATGCAACAAACATGCTGAAATCTACAGGTTTTTTAAGTCCTGAGCAAAAGTTTGCTTTTCATTTTTTGCCAAATGTTTCTGCCATTGTTTCCTGCCCTTAGTTCCCAATAAAAAGAGTCTATTATTATGCACTTTATTTGATCCTGAATCAGACAGTTTTAAAGTGCTTGTCTCTTTCTTGTTGGCAGAACAAAGTCACTTCAATGACTTTTTTAACTGGCAAAGCCGTAGAAGATCTTTGCAGAATAAAACAGGTAAGTAATTGAGCCTTTTGTTTCCAATAGGAGTGGCATATTCCTAAGGCTTATGAGATACTTGTTTTACAAGTCAGTCTCCCTCAGTGTGCACAAGACCTCTTTGCCTCTTTTCTCTACTGTACCAATGGAGGAAACAATCCGGGGAAAGAACGGATATCTCCCCTTTCCTTTATATTTACTTTCCTGTCCCTTACCCACCGCCTGTAGAGGCCAAGGATTGCTGGGCGCTCCTCTAACTCTCCAGCCCTATGTACCTAGGAGAAGAAATGGTTTGCTTTTAGGGGTACATCATATATAAGTTTATAATTTGATTACACGCAGTCCAGTGTTCACGCTGGACCTCGTCATTAAATCTGTGGAGATAGCTGCTCACACGTGCAACCCATGACTTGATGCTACAGCTGGTGAACTCTCACAGCTTGGCATGACAAACTGTGGGAACAGTTTGTGATGTCCAGAATAGCAGATCTGAGCCGAGGAACACAACCATTGAGCACAACGACATACCCCAGATTCATACTGATGTGGGCACCTGTGATAGATTGCGTGACCACACATGGAATACTCCCCACAAACCCTTTGTACCACAAATGGTTATTCCTATAAGGAAATCAAAGAAATAATAATTACTTTGGACAACCAAAAGATCGCCAACAGACCCTGAAGTCAAATGTAACAAACGTAGTGGTGAATTAGCATAAACAGTTCTGTCTAATCTACACATATCGTAATTTTAATAGTTCACACACTGTTAACTATCAGGATATGCTAAAAAATGCAAGGTTATGTATTGATATGATATATTTATTTCATAGTTTGTAAATTAACTCACAGATCCATTTTATTGTTTGTTTATTTCACTTTGTTATGTAAAATTTATAAAAGAATTTTAAAAATAAATTTTAAAAAATGAACCTGTATATGTGAATCTTCCTGTAAAAAACCCAGTCCTTTTGAATCAGCTGCTTGCAGAGACGAGTCACGGAGCCTTGTGTTTGTTTTCAAATATTTGTGTTTCTCTTTGTACGCTCCAGGTTGACTTGGATTCAAGGCACATTGGCTGGGTAACAAGTGAACTTCCTGGAGGTGATAACCACATCATCAAAATTGAACTGAAAGGCCCAGAGAACACTCTCAGAGTTCGGCAAGTGAAAGTGCTGGGATGGAAGGACGGAGAAAGCATCAAAATAGCAGGCCAGATCTCAGCCAGTGTCGCTCAGCAAAGGAACTGCGAAGCTGAAACACTGCGAGTCTTCAGACTCATTACGTCTCAGGTGAGACTCTGAATTATGATACAGCAATTCACGTTTGGTGTGGTAAATCTGACCTCCGTCTTTAATACTAAGCAAGTCTGGGACAGTTTGGGTGGGGAGGCCACAGGGAACCAGATGAATGCTACTCCAAACTCTTCAAAGGAAGGATGGAATGTAAATACAGTGAAAGAACTGGCTTCTTACAAAAATAAAGCTTCCTCTTCTGCTTCTAACCTTTGGTTTGTATATGGTTCTAAGAGGGTACGTTGCTTCCAAACCATATTTTCCTAACTTTTTTTTTTCCTTAATGTTCCCCATAGTTTGCACTTTTAAAAAAGCATTCTTTAGTCTTTGGCACCTTGATTTTCAGAACTGATATTCTTAAGTGGAGAATACGTCTAGAGGAACCTGTAATAATCACGACCTTTGCTACTTCTGATGGAGTGGTTGCAGTTAAAAATGTGATTGAAAAGAGCTGCTAAGGCTTTGTTTTATTTGTTGGTGCCCACTGCCGCTCTTGTGACATTAGAAAAATCTTAAATTTGTGGAAACTGAGGTCATCAGCCTTTTTTATTACAAAAGATTCTTAAGTCTAAGGATGTTTCATTGGCTGCATACCATAGTATTCCCGATTACTGTGTAGGGATGTGAAAGCTGGGCAGTGAAGAAAACTCAGAACATAAGAGAAGCCAACGCTGGATCAGGCCAATGGCCCATCTTGTCCAACACTCTGTGTCACACAGGGGCCAAAAATACCAGGTGCCATCAGGAGGTCCAGCAGTGGGGCCGGGACACTAGAAGCCGTCCCACTGTTGCGCCCCCCCCCAAGCACCAAGAATACAGTGCATCACTTGCCCCAGACTGAGAGTTCTTATCTATACCTTGCGGCTAATAGCCACCGATGGAGCTCTGCCTCCATATGTTTACCTAATCCCCTCTTGAAGCCATCCATGCTTGTAGCCACCACCATCTCCTGTGGCAGTGAATTCCATGACAGGAAGAAAGTTGATTCCTTTGAAATGTGGTGCTGGAGGAGCGTTTTATGGATACCATGGACGACTAAAAAGACAAAATCAGAGAGTTCTAGATCAAATCAAACCTGAACTCTCCCTAGAACCTAAAATGACCAAACTGAGGCTGTCGTTCTTTGAGCACATTATGAGAAGACAAGAGTCAGTGGAACAGGCAATACTGCTAGGAAAAGTTGAAGGCAACGGGGAATGAGGAAGACCCAACGTGAGATGGAAGCTCACTCAGTAAAGGAAGCCTTCAGTTTGCAAGACATAAGGTAGCGACTTGACCGCACTTAACACAGAGACATATTCAGCTCAAGTGTAATGTGATTTCATGGTTTTTATTTTGCGTTTTTGCACTTTAAAAGTAGCACAGCAGCAACAGCAAATAGTGCATGGAAATATTTAACCCTGTAATGCAGTGCTTTGAAAGGTTATCAGTTACAGCTGTAATGATGTATCGTCCTTCGTGCTCTCTAACAGGTATTTGGAAAACTCATATCTGGAGATGCGGAGCCAACCCCAGAACAAGAAGAGAAAGCTTTGCTGTCTTCGCCAGAAGGAGAAGAAAAAGTACACAATGTATTTATTTGTATTCTACAATTACTATGGTTCTAACTTCTAAAACTAATAATCCAAGTTCTGTTGAATACTGAACTTTTGCTGTGCCCAACTCCTTCCCCCTTAATAGTGCTCTGCTGCCAACACATGGTGTTAAAATGCTTTGTATTTGGTTTCTGAGGCTATAGAGATTTCTTGGAATAATCAAATTTTATACCATCGTTTGGAAATTCTTTGACCACGTTCATAGTAAGATCTATAACTTTTAACATTTTATTTGTTAAAATAAAATGTAATAGCTGAGAGAGACACTTGTCATAGCAAAACCACAACAAAAAATACCCCATTCTATGATAAAAGTTGGATGATTTAGTCTAAGGGTCAGTGAAGGGATTCCACTAAATTCAACCAGGAAGGAAAAACTATTTCTATAACAAAGAGATTGTGTGTTTATTTCATTCAGCATTTTTGCCAATTATCACTTCAGCAGCCACAGTATAAAGGCCATATCTACAACACATTAATATCCCACAGCCACACAAAACAGTGGCACACAATGGAGGTTTGCTCTGGAGTAAGTCCGATGCAACATTTAGTACACCTGTGGAACTGAAAACCTAGGTGGCAACAAAATTATCTACTACATGGAGCATTTGAAGAGGAAGGTACAGGGAAAGGACAACAAACAACCCTCCAGAATCTACTGAACTCAAAGGCAAAAAAATAAACTCTTGGTTTCTGTGCCTTTGAATTCAAAAGCAGCTGTTCTTAATTGACATTAAAGAGACATGGGTTTGAATTCAGCAAGCTTTTTTACTCAATCATGTCCAATTCTTTTCGTTTCTGTTGGCGTTTGGAACGTAAGAGAAGCCATATTGCATCAGGGCAATGGCCCATCCAGTCCAACACTCTGTGTCACACAGTTGCCAAAACCCAGGTGCCATCAGGAGGTCCACCAGCGGGGCCAGAACTCTAGAAGCCCTCCCACTTGGATTTTGTCCATACAGGTTCCACTGTCTCTAGCATAGCCTTTTTGGTGGTCGAAGCCCTTTTCACCATTGAAAAACTGGTTGAATCCAACCCATGAGATCCAGTTTCACAGCTCCAAGATTGATTTCCTAATCACCCCCCCCCCCCAAAAAAAATGGGTTATCTTGGGATTTACACACACACATACACACACAATCTTTTTTCATTGTTCATCCTTCCAATCAAATAAGGGGGAGCAATGCTGAAGAATTTAGTTTTCCCATGCCTTTGAATTCAGCAGATTCTGGGCGGTTGCCCCTTACTGGTCCATTTTTCCTCTCCCTCTAATGCTTCATACATCAGGCTGGTAATTTTTTGCACACTTAGTTTCCAGTTGAGGAGGTGCACAGTAATGGCAATGTGGAGAGATGAAATTTTTTAGGGGGGGGGGGAGACTCCATTACAGAGTATTTCGGCGGCAGTAGAATCAGAAAGTGTTGGGAATGCTACCCTCCTTAATACTTAAGGCCACTTTTCCTACCAGGCAACTTTGCTGTTCCACAAGAGTAGGCTAGCTGTGCGGTTTCATTCGAAGTAGGGGGGGAAGTGAGGAGGTCTTGAGAAGAGTCTTGATTACAGCACAAAAACAACTGAACTGCAGTGGGTCACCAATAAGGTAAAAGGTAAAGGTTTCCCTTGCTCAAAAGCCGGTCAAATCCAACTCTAGGGATGCGGTGCTCATCTCAGTTTCCAAGACGAAGAGCCAGCGCTGTCCAAAGATGTTTCTGTGGTCATGTGGCCGGCATGACTAAATGCCAAGGCGCATAGAGCACTGCTACCTTCCCGCCGAAGTGCTACCTGTTTATCCACTTGCAATTTCTTGCTTTCGAACTGCTAGGTTGGCAGGAGCTGGGGCCAGAGACGGGAGCTCACTCCGTCACGCAACAATCGGGTCTCGAACTGCCAAACTACAGACCTTCCGGTCTGCAGCTCAGCGTCTTCACCTCTGAGCCACCGCGGCCCTTGGGTCACCATCAGTAGTGTGTAAACTTTCCATTTAAAATGAGTGAATGAAATCATGGCAATTCTAGATGAAACAGGTAGCCTGTATAGGTCCTAGCCAGTTCTTCATGTGATTCTTAGATGCCACACAAGTCCCTCCAGTGATGATTAATGCTTTTTCCCGTTGAAGGTACGCTAGGTCAGGGGTCCCTAGCCTTTCTGAGCCTGCGAGCACCTTTGGGATTCTTACACCAGCACGGTGGGCGCAGTCACAGAAGGGCTGCCATGAGGGGCGGAGCCAGCCACAAAATGGCTGCCACAGCTTACCTTCAGTCACCTAGTGAAAGCAGCGTTTTTTTAAAAATCTACACAGGCAATCAGATTTTCAGTGGCCAATCAGAAGCCTTCCTGGACAAAAGCCCCAACTGGTCCCCTCCCACATTCTTAAAACATTTGGCAGGCACCAGGAAAGGTGCTGAGGTGCCATGGGCACCGTGTTTGGGACCCCCGAACTAGCTTTTCCTTAAGTGGCGTGAATGAGCTTGCAAATGCGGGCAGAAGGCTCGTAATGACAGACCTTTTGAGTGCGGTCTAGAGTGTGAAAAATACTTCAGAAACCTTTGATTGCCTAATGAGTGAACAGTGGTCTTGTAGAAAGAAAGTCTGCCCAGTGTGTGTATTCTTCAGTGGGTTCGTTTTGGCTATGTAATACTATATGTGCCATTTGTAGCAGGGGACCGGTTAAACATTTTCCTTTGGTAAGATTTTTCACATTATGAATATTAAAAACGTTAAACATATGCTCACCCAGTATGTTAATAGTTTTTTTTAAAATTTATTTTAAAGGCAACTTCGGATGCAGATTTGAAAGAGCACATGGTTGGGATCATATTCAGCAGAAGTAAACTGACAAATTTGCAAAAGCAGGTTTGTATTTAGTATTCTTCACAGTGCTGGATATTTGCCTGCAGACATTTATATTCGTGGTCTCCAAGCTAGGGAGAGACGGGAGCCCTGCTCAACTAGGAATCGTTGCTGCTTGCAACAGATGAGTACCAGAGCCACTGAAGGAATATTCCTCTGAACAGTTCTGCTTAAGGAAAGCATATTGCACCGTGCTACGTAACCGTCTGCATTTCTGATAAGGGGGGAGGTACTGAGTCCGTTTATCCTAGACACAGCCAATGCTCCCTCTAAGCTGTGGAGTCTCGTGAGCAAAAATTCTACCTTGTGAGCTACTGGCATTAAAGTCGTGAGCGAGCGATTTGGCTACTGCATAAATCAGTTCGCTCCGGAGCCCTCCTTCCTGAGCTAAGGCAAAAATGTGTGAGCTGGAGGCTAAAAAACTGTGAGCCAGCTCACACTAACTCAGCTTAGAGGGAACACTGGACACAGCCAATGCTCCCATCGTTATGCATCTCCTGTTTATTTGTATGCATCCATCCAACATCAGGTAGCTACAAAATCGGGAAGGGGTGGACTCAGAGAAACCAGAAAACTCCCTTTAAAAAAAACCAACAGCCCTTTTTAGCAGGCCCAAAAGGAGCGTGTACTGATGGGACTCGAAGGAGTGCAAAGAAATCAAGCAGCCCTACTTTCACGTTGCAAAACATTGTGGATGGGCCATGCGTGCGATCCCTTGAGTGACATGTTTCTCTGACCCTCCTGAAAGGCTGTGGCTGTGACTTTTTATTTATTTATTAGATTATTATTTTTTTAGTCACCGCTCACCCAAAGGGTCTTGTGGCCACTTAACAACATTAAAAGAAAGGTTAAAAACAACATAAAAACAAATAACAAATATAAAATATTAACATTAAAAGATCAAAGTACGTGGCTCTCACCGTGCCGCTGTTAAAACAGCCCAAGCAGATGGGTTCTCTCCAAAGGCCAGCCTAAACAATTCAGCTTTGTATGCCCTACGAAAACTGAACAAGTCTGGCAGGGCACGGGGGTCATCCAGGAGTGCATCCCACAGGGTAGGGGCACACCACTGGGAAGGCCCTTCCCCTGGTGACCAGTGTTCCCTCTAAGCTGAGTGAGTGTGAGCTAGTTCACAGTTTTTTAGCCTCCGGCTCACACATTTTTGTCTTTGCTCAGGAAGGGATGGCTCCAGAGCAAACTAATTTATGCAGTAGCCAAATCACTTGCCCACAACTTTAATGCCTGTAGCTCACAGAGTAGATTTTTTGCTCGCAAGACTCCATTGCTTAGAGGGAACATTGCTGGTGACCGCTAACTGAGCCATCCTGAGGCCAGGCACCTGCAAGAGGCCCCGAGACAACAACCAAGGGAGCCTGGGGAGTTGTAGCAGGAGAGGAGGTCCTGGAGTTATTAGGGTCCCAGACCACTAAGGGCTTTAAAAGTTAACACCGGCTCCTTGAATTGGATCTGGAGACTTGATTGGTAGCCGGTGCAGCTGCTGCAGAATTGGAGTAATATGAGCTGACCATGATGTTCCAGTCGGCAGCCTGGCAACTGCATCGTGGACCACCTGCAGTTTCCAAAGCTTTTTCTAGGGTAGCCCTACGTAGAGTGAATTGCAGTAGTCCAGTCTGGCGGTGGCCATCGCGTGGATCAATGTGGCGAGGTCTGATCCAGGCAAATAAGGAGCCAGCAGGCCTGGTGTAGGTGAAAAAAAGCTGAGCGTGCTACCACGGACATCTGTTTATCCAATGATAGCACAGAATCCAACCCCACCTTGAGGCTCTGTACAGAATCTACAGCTGTCGACTGGGCACCATCAAGTTTCAGGAGTGACCCCCCAGCTAGCATCTCAGTCTTTCCCGGCCACGTATACATTAACTTGCAAGAAGAATCTCACCAGAAGAAAGCTGTTAGCTTCAGTGTAAAGATGAAAACGAAGTTCAAGTTGACTTCCTTTCCAGTTTGCGTTGGAGTCGTCACATGTCGCCGTTGCCTGTAGTTTTTTCCACCCACAACTCTTGTGCCTCTTTTCTTCCCTCTCGTTTAGGTCTGCGCTCATATTGTACAGGCCATCCGAATGGAAGCAACGCGCGTGCGTGAAGAATGGGAGCATGCGATTTCTAGCAAAGAGAATGCCAACTCTCAGCCCAGTGACGAAGACGCGTCCTCTGATGCCTACTGCTTCGAGCTGCTGTCCATGGTGCTGGCACTGAGTGGCTCCAACGTAGGGCGTCAGTATTTGGCCCAGCAACTCACTTTGCTTCAGGATCTCTTCTCGCTGCTGCATACGGCTTCTCCCAGGGTGCAAAGGCAGGTTAGTGCAGAATTAAAGCATGAAGCATAGGCAGGTGTCGTGGTCTCTCTCTTTTTTAATGTTAGGGTGTGTTTTTTTCTCTCCATGTGATTAAAAAGCTATGATTGGATTGATAGTTGGGACTCTGGAGAAAAAGTAACCAGCTTCAGTTCTTTTCCTAGGTGACATCCTTGCTGAGGCGTGTGCTGCCGGAGGTCACCCCTAGTCGCTTGGCTAGTATCATAGGAGTCAAGTCCCTGCCCCCAGCAGACATAAGCGATATCATTCATTCAACGGAGAAGGGGGATTGGAATAAGCTGGGGATCTTGGACATGTTCCTGGGATGCATTGCCAAAGCACTCACTGTACAGCTCAAGGCCAAAGGAACCACCATAACCGGTACAGCAGGTACTGCTGCCGGCAAAGGAGTGACTACAGTCACGCTGCCGATGGTTTTCAACTCCAGGTGAGCGGAAGCCACACTTTGTTTTAAGGCACAATCTTAAATGATCTTCAGTGCAATCGACAAGAGTTTTCGCTTTCCCTCCTGTTCATTCACACACTTCTAAAAAGATTGTTCAGAAACTGTGTTCTTGGAATGCGTCTGGGAAGACTGTACTGCTGAACTAAGGTTTAAGGTGTTACTCATTTGCTTCTCCTCCACACCCTGACTCGGTGAATTCTTTATTCTTTCTTCCCTAGCTATATTAGGCGAGGTGAAAGCCATTGGTGGATGAAGGGCTCGACTCCAACACAGATTTCAGAGATCATTATCAAGCTCATTAAAGACATGGCAGCGGTAAGTCCTAGAACGTGTAGCCGTTTCTCTTCCCTAGCATGACAAGGTTGCATTTTCTTGTGAAAAGGGTGAAATGATACAGGAGGTTCTGTTCACTGAGGCGGATCTTTCTGTGCCTTCCTGCTCTCTGCCAGAAGAGGCCATTGTGACATGCCCACCGTGCCATGGAAGCTGCAGTAAGGAAGGAGGAGTCAAGCAAAACCTCCCACCTCCTTGTTTGAACGGAAGGCTCGTAGGATCTCACCTATAACAAAGAAGGAACCATAATATTTTGCAGTCGAAATTCCAAACTCTAATCTCCAGCTATGAAAACTGCTGCACATTTAAGTTATGATAGTAGCTAGAGCAGAGAACCTTTATTTGGCATACCATAGATAGATCAAACAGGGGAGAGTTTAAGGGTAGGTACAAAGAACAACATCAATCAAAATTCCCAGTATCTCAAAAGCACAAAACAGTCCTAACATGGTTTACAAGATTTACAGGGTATTACTCTTGACTTCCATACATAGGTCAAAAATTCTGCGACAGATAGTGTTGTTGCTGGACTCTTGTCTGCTAGGAAAAAAGATAAGTCCCTATCCAGAAAGTCTCTCTGCATAGGGAAGAGAGGACGAATCAAGATATTGCGCATAGCGGAATATTTAGGACAGTGAAAAAGAATGTGCGTAACTGAATCGGGTTCCCCAAGATTGCAGTTGCAGAGTCTATCCTTATACGGGACACCCCTGTATCTACCTGAGACCACTACTGAAGGGAAAAGGTTGAACCTTGCAAGTATGATAGTAAAGAAAGCCTGCAGCTAAAATCTATCTGTGATTTCCACCCTGGAATTTTATGTGTCTGTCGCAGCCCCTCAATTAGAAAAGGTTTTGGGTAGATCGGGGTACTTTCAGAAATATCTCTCAGCTTTTCAAGACTTACAGTGCAATTCAAAGGAGAGTTACTCGGGTCTAAGCCCATTCATTTCAATGGTCTTAGACTGCAGTAACTGTCCTTAGGATTGCATTGTTAGACATTTAGTCTGGATAACTCATTGACATCATATGTTGTTGTTCAGTCACACAGTGGAGTCTAACTCTTCGCGACCTCATGGACCACATCACGCCAGGCCCTCCTGTCTTCCGTCGTGCTCCGGAGTTTGCTTAATTTCATGTTTGTTGCATTGATAACACTGTCTAACCATCTCATCCTGCAAACTGGACTTTTTAGTGTTATCGTTATAAATTTTAAGCCGTGCAATCAGTTATCTTTTAAAAAACAAAAATCAAAACACTGTTTCCATTTTCACGTCTGCCTGATAACACTAATCTTCATGACCTAAGCAAAGATTGTAAAGAGGTCCTTCTTCCATAGGGTCACTTGTCTGAAGCTTGGTCCCGTGTAACAAAAAATGCTATTGCTGAAACAATCATTGCTTTGACCAAAATGGAAGAAGAGTACAGGTCTCCCGTGCGGTGCATCGCAACAACTCGGGTAAGAATGTATTTGTTTAGAGAAATACTGATATAGTGGTATAGCAGCTACCGGTAGTTCTAGTAACATTGTATCTCATGTCGCCTTTTACTGCCTCTCTAAACTCATGGTCATGCTTTCAAATCTGGGACCTGTCATTACCTTAGACTTGTAGGGTGGGACCCACTTCTGATTTTATTATCTTTCATTCCCTTTGCTTCCTTCTCTCTGTTGTAGGGATGCCAGCCTCCAGGTGGGACTTGGGGATTCCCCCAGAATTACACCTCACCTCCAGACTACTGAGATCAGTTCCCCTGGAGAAAATGGATGCTTTGGAGGGGGGACTTTATGGCATGGTACCCCACTGAGGTTCCTGTCACTCCCCAGGCTCCATCCCCAAATCTCTAGGAGTTTCCCAACCTGGATCTGGCCACCCTACCCCACCCCCCACCCCCCGCTGTGGTGGTCAGGGAGCACCTGGGAACCTTACTGTGTTGCTGTGTCTTTCTCCTATTTTTTCTGTGTTTCTTTCTCCTAAAAACCCAAAAGAGTGAAAATGGAGGTCGTGCTTTAACTGATCCACATTAACCTAGGGTGCAATCCACCAGCTGAATACCAGTGCTCTTGATTAAGGGTTGTGTTTTGTAAAAATGGTTGTTTTTAAGAGCCTTACAGTTAACGGTGACAATTTTTTTTTAACAATTTGTAATCCACTGTTGTAGAGAGGGAATGTAGGTAATCATGTGTGGCAGACTAAAAACGTGTGCAGGGTTCCTTCCCCCTTTGTATTTTGATGATTCCAGTCAAAACTAATCGTAAAACTTTTACATGTTGCCGTTAAAATATGAATATTGCATTTAAATAAAATTCCACTTGGAAGTGCTCAATAATTTGAATCTGAATACTTTTAAAAGCTTGCCTAGCAATTCTTTTCTTGTGGAGAGTCATTGTTTCCCCAAGCATGGATCTAAGAAGGATTGTCTTGTTCTGCAAAAGTTCAGAATATGTAGCATAGAATTTATAATGTTACACTTAAACAAGGGATCTAATTCTACAGCGATACTGATACATGGCAATGCAGCATGTTTAGTTTTTCCCCACCATGCTTTCGTTAACACCTTGTTTACACCAGAACCTTATTTTAGAAGTGCCCAAAGATAAGAATGTAAGAATACACAACCATCCAGCTTCATGCAGTGCCACTAAAAAGACCAACCCTGTTGATTTAGAAAGTAAGAATAGTATATTATAATTGTATCATGGTAATTACCTGAAACCTGAGTCATCTGCGCCAACTGCAGAGCAGTTCAGGGAGCATCTCAACTGGAAAACGAGCAGTGAAAAGCCAGTCCGAAATGGTGACACGTGCCACTGAACATGTGTGAGAGGTTGCAAGACAGAATAAAGCACAGAGCAAGAACTGTTCGTTAAACATTACCTTCACTTTGCCAGGGTGCTCATACAAGCTTATATGTTGCTAAAACAAAAGAAGCCATCAGTGGCACCGGTCAGATTTGTCAACGCACAAGTTTCCCTGGACAAGAGCCCTCTTTGCCAGATGCAAATAAATAAAATAAAATGCAATCTGATGCTTCTAACAAAGTTGGGCTCTAGCCCACGAGAGCGTGGTAGTCTTTAAGGTGTCACAAGACTCCTTTTTGTATTTTGCTGCAGCCAACTAACATGGCTACCCCACTCGGATGTTGCTAAAAGACTGTGTATGATCTTGTTGTCTTCTCTCCCCCCCCCCCCCCCCCCAGCTCTGGCTGGCTCTTGCCTCTCTTTGTGTGCTGGACCAGGACCATGTAGATAGACTGTCCTCCGGACGATGGATGGGAAAGGATGGACAGCAAAAACAAATGGTGAGAAAAGGACAGGGGCTGGTTTCTGCTTTCCATTCCAGGTTTAGGTATTCTGAGCGTGGCCTTTGGGATCAAAAATCCCCAGATCCAAAGCCCTTCGCACCTCTAAAGAATGAAAACGTCAGCCAACGAAGGTCAACTGCATGGTGTGTGAGATCAGTTTCCTGAAGAGAGGCTGGGCAACAGAGTGCTGCGTTTGGTTGTTTTGAAAGTTCCTAAGGGTTTTGGTGGAAATCTTGAGGACTCTTTCATCTGCATAAAGAATTATTAAATGCCAAAACAAGAAATCTCAGGAAAACAAACTACCGGCTTACAAAAAGCAGGTTTTTGCCCTTTTATTCAGTCTTTAAAGGCAGCTGAAGAAGTTATTGTGCTGATATTGAGCATTTTCGTATGATCTTGTAACTTTTCCCAGGGCATGAGTGAACAGCAGGCTGGCCTTCCCTCTCAGCCTGTATTTGTAGCATTATCATAATTCTGTCTGAGTCTTCGTAATAACTGATCATTACGGTGTTGTCTATGTCTGTACACAGTGGTTTTCAAACTGTTTCTCAGGGCACCCTTGGTTCATGAGAAGCTTATGGGACCCCCCCCCCCCCCGCAAACGGGAACTCTCTAATGGCAGGGGAGTGTCCCTAAAAGACAACCTGCCCACCACAAATAGTCTTCCACTGTAATATATAGCGGTGGGAGGGTGTGTGTTAAGAACATGCACACAGTTCAATTTGGCTGACATCCAAACTGCCCTGTGGATGTAATTGAATAGGTGTCCTAGAATATGCCCATAACCTGCTACGCACAGAATTTCTATGGCGGGTGCTCAGGGGTTCCTCATCTGATAGTTGATGTAGAGAGGATTGCTGGCTTGTTACAACATAGAGCCCACTAAGCCTTAATACCCTCAATCTATGGCCTACCTCATCCCCAATTCATTTAAAAAAACAAACAAACCCAAATGATTGGGGCCAGAAAAATAAACAAATACTGTCCTTTTCTTTAGCGTTCAGTGTTCTGTGGTACCTTTTCGAAATATATTTCTGCTTAAAAGTATCCTGTAGTGTTTAAAACTGCAAGTATACTTCATCTCCCCTTTTGGATGGAGAGAAGGTTTAACCTGAGATGAAACCATTCCATTTTTTTTCCAGCCTATGTGTGATAACCATGATGATGGGGAAACTGCTGCTATCATCCTGTGTAACGTCTGTGGGAATCTGTGTACAGATTGTGATCGGTTCCTGCATCTCCATCGACGCACAAAGTCACACCAAAGACAGGTAAGAAGCATTTTTAAAGGAAAAACCTTGGAAGGCAAGGGTGTAATCCCACGCATGCAAACACCATCGTGAAATCAAATTTAATGCTGTTTTGGTTGAACCCGACAGGTATTCAAGGAGGAGGAGGAAGCGATCAAGGTTGATCTTCACGAAGGCTGTGGTAGAACCAAACTGTTTTGGCTGATGGCACTGGCAGATTCGAAGACCATGAAGGCGATGGTGGAGTTCAGAGAACAAACAGGTGGAAAATTTTCATTTCATCCTTTTTTACCCTCTGCAGGGGAGTTGTTGCTATTATAAGAGGGGATGTTATTCTCCTGTTGACTTTTCACCCAAAGAAAACGTAATTAATTTACTACCAAACCCAGAATTATCCAGAAGATAAAGTACACAACTAAGTCAGTGGCTCTAAACACAGAAATATTGCTAAGTATTCCTCGGGCTCAATAACTGAAGGGAAGGGGGGCCAAGTAGGAAACAAACTCGAGGAAACAAACTAGATGGCTCAGTGCTCAAAGTCTGAATACTTATGGAAATGGGAAGAGATAAGAGATTCTGTTTTTGTAATCTATGCAGGTTGTACAATTCACCATAGCTTTTGAGGTTGTTGGGTTTTTTTAATTTAATGCAGAGTACTCTCATTCCTATACATAGTGTTGCAGTCCCCAAATCAGGTTAGTTCATGTAGGGTTATCTCAGATATAACTTACAGGCAGAATCTATGTCAGCGCTCCTAAGTTTCTGGTTTCAGACCCCAGCATCCCCAGTTTAATGATCTCTGGGATCAGGGCTAGGGGAGACCCCCCCAGCTGAGACCTTCGAGTAGGGATCCCTAGCCTTTTTGAGCCTGTGGGCACCTTTGGAATTTGGACACAGGGTGGTGGGTGCACCCACAAAACGGCCCCTGCGGGAAGCAGAGCCCCGTACAGAGGAAGCCCAAGGGCAGGAGACACGAGGAGTAATTTTTTAAAATACACTGGGGCAGAAGAGCATGAGAAAGAATAAAAGCAACACTATAGTGGCAGCTGCCACGGAAACAGTGTTATTTTAATCTGCACTGCCCCCCCCCCCCCGACCTCGCCTACTTTCTAAAAACACTCTGCGGGCACCAGGAAAGGTGTCCCCGGGTGCCAGGCCAGGGGCCTGTGTTCTAGAGGCATTACCAATTAAAGGCAGAAATACTGAGTCATGTTGAATAGTGGTCTGACCCAGGGTTATATGAAGCTACGTGGTTATTAAGGAAGGGCCATAGCTCAGTGTTGGACCACATACTTTACATGCTAAGGGTCCCGGATCCAGTCCCTGAGAGCTCAGGGAGCAGGAATGGAAAAGATCTCTGCTTGAGACACCAGAGAGCTCCTGCTAGAGGAGACAGTACTGGGGGCAGAATGAGTTAATGGTCTGGCTAGGTCTAAAGCATCTTTACTGCTTCAGCCAGCATGTTTCTTCCACTGACAGTACTTTGTTCAGCAGCTGTATTTACCCAATTGCTTGTTTGATCCATTTCTGCACAGATAAACGTTAACTTTCTCCAGTGCGTAACAGTGAAATAGCATTCAGGAGTTCTGATCTCTCCCCCCACCCCCCTTTTGATTTAGGCAAACCTACCACAAGCAGTTCTGAAGCGTGTCGTTTCTGTGGCTGCAGAAATGGGACAGAATTATCAGCCGTGGGCAGCGTCTGTTCTGATGCCGATTGCCAGGTCTGTGGTGTTTTTAAACCCTGGAGTCACTGGGACTCCATTGCATGAATCTGTGAGGCAAGTTAATCCAGAGCGGATGGAGCGTTTTGGTTCACAACTGAAAGGCTCCGCTGTAAGCTGCAGATGTATGTTAGAAACCTCTGACAAGTCTGTTTATTTTCCCCGAAAGATTGTTGGGAGGGAGTTATATGAAGCAGAAGGTTATCATTTCCTCTGTTCCCCTGAAAAATCTGCCCTAGGGGGTTCTGTAGGAATGCTTGTGAGTGTAAATATATGGCTAGAGGAGGGGAAGCTCAGCACCCACTGCTGCTTTGCTCTTCCAAAAGCGCTGTTTTTAAGGGGAGAAGCTGGCTTCTGGAACTTCCTTCCATGTATTTGCAAACGACATAAAACTTGGAGACTTAGGCTCTGTTCACAGACATGACAAAAGGAACAACACGCAAAGGCTTTGTTCATGATAAACACAGACCTGTTGTAACTGTTGCATTCGCACCCTCATTCTGTCCCCTTCCCTCGTACCAGATTGACTTTCGCTTGTGACTGCCAAACACGGGCAACTTGCCTTTCTTCCTTACCCATGTAATCAGGATTCTCAACCACGATTTAATCTTGGTCACTGATCATATGATCAAAGCTCTGATTTGTCTGTGAAGTCAGAACTGATCCTCAGTCATTCAGTTAATTCATCAGCGAAGACTATGCAAGCAGTGTACATGTTCTCTCTCTCTCTCTCACACACACACATACAGAAACACTCTTAGCGAGTACTTTAAAATGATACAGATTTGTATCCAGCAGTACAAAATAAAATTTATTCTTAACTGCCAGCTTGCCCGGTGCTGTTCACTTCTGAAGGAAGTTGTGGAATTTCCTGTCCGGGAGGATTTTAAGGCGAGACTTGAATGAGCACCACTTTGCTGTAGTGGTTACGGACACAGACGCTAATCTGGGAGAACTGGGTTTGATTCCCCACCCCTCCACTCACAGCCGCTGGGTGACCTTGGGTCAGTCATAAGTTCTCTCAGAGCTGTTCTCTCAAAAGCAGTTCTGGAAAGAGCTCTCTCAGCCCCACCTACCTCACAGGGTGTCTGTTGTAAACTGCTCTGAGACTCCGAGGGAAGGGCGAGGTATAAATCCAATCTCCTCTTCTTAAAGGGCTATTTTTCTGTAACCCGTCCCCCCCCCCGCTCCTGATTTTGAGATAACGTGGCAGCACCGCCTAACAGTTCCTTCCCCTGGCCCCCCCAGGGCACCAATATACCTGCAGTTCCTTTCTCTGCTTGCCAGACCTAGACTTTTCAGTCAGCAGTGAGAGATAAAGAGAAGAGACAGCCGAGTGGAACGATAACGCACTTCTATCTTGCCTCCTTCACCCTCCTGTTGTTCAGTCAGACAGCTGCCAAGCACGGGTCTCTCCGTCTCTCCCCCAGCCCCTTGTCCATGTCCTCGTGATGGTTGAACTACCTCTCCAAGTAAAAAAGAAAGGAACCACTGTTCTCATAAAAACAAAGAAGCATGCACAGGACCCCGTCACTGCTGTCTGTCTAGCGTTAGTATCTGCATACCTAATTTATCTTTACGCTGTCAGTTTACAATGTCTGCTTTCGGTAGGAATACGCAAAGATCGCTTGCAGCAAGACTCACCCCTGCGGCCATCCCTGTGGAGGCGTCAAGAATGAGGAGCACTGTTTGCCCTGCCTGCACGGCTGTGACAAGAGCACCACCACTCTGAAGCAAGATGCTGACGACATGTGCATGATCTGTTTCACGGAAGCGCTTTCAGCAGCACCAGCCATTCAGGTTTGAATTGAGGGTTTTTAAGACGTGAAATCTCCTGAACTTGTAAAGCGTTTACGGTACGGTGGGAGAAGAACCCTAGTAAAAACAATAAATTGCCAGTGTGCCTATTTTAGGTATGGGGTGTCTGTCATGTTCAACTTTGTATTACCTTCCTGCGACTTAATGGGGAAATCTACCCCAGTGTCATGTTCAGTTGGTGTGCTGGGATTCAAGTGGCTTAGTTAGTGCTGAAGGAATGCTTATTTGGGATCTGGAGCGTAATGTTCACCGTCTGTTCTTTTTTTTCCTGGGCCCCAAAATTCGGTTCTGGTGCCAAATTGAACATGTCCTGTCCCGTCTCCAAGTGCCAGGGCCCCTGAAAAACAGAATACTGGGTTGTGTACAGAGATCATGAATTGGCAACATCGCAGTTTCCAAGAATTTAAAAATACCTGGCTCTTAATAAGTTGTGTAAACTGGGGATTGAATAGTGTAGATTCAAGTGGAAGCCTATTTGAGCGGGTTGCTGTGGGTTGGATTCAGCAGCCCTTGGGCAGAAGACATCAGTAGATGTTCCCCACCAGTTCCTTCAGATACTTGGAAAGCTGATTCCCAGGGTCACGGGAGCTGCGTGGATGAACAGCATATAGGTTGGGGGGGGCAGCAGTGTGGATGGGGGCCCTCCTTGCTGCAGCCCCTAGACTCACGTGGCTGTTGGTGCACACGGGTCTTGCAAAAGTCTGTGTGCCTTTTAATGGATCCAACCCTATGCTCCCTATGAAGGTCTTATAAGGCCACCTGCATTTGGTATAGATATATTGTGTGGCTTAATATGACTACGTCAACATAACTGTTTCATCTGGTGATCCCTCAGTCATCTCTTCTTCCCACCTTATGTTCTAATGACTGTTTCTCTGTGTTTATAGATATGTATTTTAGTGTTGGTGTTCATTGTTTTCATGATTTGTTTAGGACAGAAAGGCAGGGTACAAATTTAGTAAGTAAATAAATACATAAATTTTAACCAGGCCGTTTGCTTTAAAGTGGTCAAGGGTTATATCTGAACACCAAAAACACGGTTAAGGTTTTGCCACACACCACAACATGAAATCCGTATTTTAAGTGTACCTTTGCAACCCATGGTTTGTGTTAACCACGGGTAAATATCAGGCCTGAGAATGTTAGATCTCATCACTTGCAGGGTGACAAATGAGCTCCACAGCTGTTTCTTTATGCACGCCTTCTGGTATCAGGGCTTCATTTGACAGGCTAAACCATGATTTTGTTAGACAGTCGTCTTAAATGCAATAAAGTACAATGTTTGTTCTGAGACTTATTTAAATTTCAGTCAGGGCATTGTGTAACTTCAGCATGGATTTATCACTTCCTGAATAATTGACTATCAACTAATTCTCCCATCCTAGGGTTTAACAAACTGTGTCTTACCTAAAGAGCACCACTTTATTGGTTCAAGGTGCATGTTTCTTAAGATTTCATTGAGGTTACTGTACTTTATGTGGTCACTGGTGAAAATCAGTTTTTAAAATACTTGAGTGTGTGTGTGTGTGTGTGAAATCACAGTAACAAATGGATTTGCCGTTTCCTCCTAAGCCGCTTAAGCAAAGCTTAATGCTATCAGTTTGTCCACAGCAAACTCCCTGACCAGAATTGTGAATCTCCTTTTCACAGCTGGACTGCAGTCATATATTCCATTTGCAGTGCTGCTGCCGAGTCCTAGAAAACAAATGGCTTGGACCGCGGATAACATTTGGGTTCATGCTGTGTCCAATTTGCAAGGTGAGTCCACAGAGCCGAGGGCCATTTTGATATCTTCAGAACAGGGGTCATTTTGTAGAAAAAGAGGTGCAGGAGCTCATTAGCATAACTCATTTGCATATGCCACACCCCCTGACATCGCCGGACGTGTGTCAGAAGGCAACACCCACCGCTCAGGCTCCACTGGACTGTTTTGGATTGCTAGCTATTGGGGGGGGAGCGCATATCTGCCCTCACAGAGGAGGGAGAGCTTGTACCTGAAGTCGGGCCGGGGGGTGGGGGGCTCTGGGCTCTGCAACTTACCTGGCTGCTTCTTGCTCCTTGTGGCCCAACTGAGGGCTGCTGGGAGCAGGGGGCTGCTGGGAGCTTGTTGCATGTGCCCGCCCCTTGGGCTCCTTACTGCCAGAGCTCCGCTCCTGTGCGTTCCTGCAGGAAATGACCCCTGCTTCAGAAGCAATTTTAGTGAAAAGGGGATAGACTCACTGGTTTGGGTTTTTTTTCATATGATCTTATACTAGGAGGAACTGTGTAAACATTGCTATGAATAGAACTGAAAGTGATAGCCTTTGTGGATCATAACATTGTTTATAAGAAGCAAAAGAGAGCTGCATACATCTCTTAGGATCAGTGCTATAATTCCCACTGATGTTCGGGTTGCCTGGTCCCGTGGGGTTTTCCTGATTGGGGGGGGGGGTTCTTTCCTGCTGCCAGCCAGCTGGGCGGGGGGGGGGGGGAACCCTGCCCCCAAGAGCAACCCCCCAGCAACCCCTACTACAAGATTTAAAGGGCCTTCCAGCTGGCCCTTTAAATCTTGCAGGAGAGAAGGAATAAGAGGGGTGGCTGTGCGTGCCTGCCCTCCAAGCTATGAATTCGGGGCTTGGAGAGCAGGCACGCGCAGCCTCCCCCCACCTGTTCCCAATAGCGTTTAAAGAGAGTCTTTAAACACTATTGGGAAGAGGCGGGGGACACGGGCTTGCCCTCCAAGCGGCTTTAAATGCTTTCGGCAAGAAGCAGGGGCCTCCGGTCCCCAACATGATGACATCACTTATGTGTGACATTATCACATTGGGGACGTCCCCACCCCCTCCAGTAATGCCCCCCCCCAAAATACCCTACTGGGGACTTGGAGGGATCTGATAGATGGATAAAGGTAAAGGTTCCCTTGCTCGACAGCCAGTTGAGTCCGACTCTAGGGTTGCGGTGCTCATCTCCGTTTCAAAGCCGAAGAGCCAGCACTGTCTGAAGACGTTTCCGTGGTCATGTGGCCGGCATGACTAAACACCAAGGCGCACAGAACCTTCCCACCGAAGTGGTACCTATTTATCTACTTGCAATTTCTTGCTTTCGAACTGCTAGGTTGGCAGGAGCTGGATAGATAGGTACAAATTGGCTTAAACTCACCAGTAAAATTACCTTTGAGATTATAGTTTGCCACTGCTGCTGCTAGGAAGTACAGTGCCTTGCACAAAAAATGTGAATGATTCGAGTAGGTCATTTCTTCAGTGTCCACGCTGATGGTTAAAAAATTACAGAACATTTTCAACGTGGTTGTTTGTTCGAGAGAAATGGAAGCTTGGTAGTGCGTCATCTGCGTAACAAGCAAACAAATTGCTGGAAAGCATCAAGAAATCTGTTTATGTATGTATTTAAAATATCTACATGCCGTCTCTTCAGAGAGCTGCGCCCGGTCACTCACAAAGTAAAACAAGATGAAGTTCATTAAAATTAACCACTGTTTAAAAACTCAGGAGTATAAAAGCGCATAAAATGACAGAGCATAGAACGTTTGGTGGCTTAAGTAACCCTCACAAGAATCCACAGCCTCAAAGCAGATTGTCAAAAGCCAAAGATCAACCTGGAGCTAAAAGCCAGGGTCAAAAGAAATGTTTTGGCCTGACCCTGAAAAGACAGCAAGGCAGGCACGAGGTGAGCCCCAGGCAGAGAGAGGGGATCCCCGTCTCTGGTTGCCACCCACTTTGCCTCTGCAGAGCAGGTTAGTAACATGCACTTTGGGAAAGCTAAAGGGAGAGCAGTTAACTGTTTTACATAATGTGATAGTGAGGGGACATCCTGTGAAATTAATGTACAGGAAGTATTGAAAAGGATTGTTTAAACCAAATACTTTTTGTTGCTAGTCTTTGCTACTCACAGCCAATAATGTCGTTTCAAATGCAGAGACAGTTTTATGGAAGCAAGAAATATCAAGGGCCTGTAGCCATAAGAAGCTCTGTGTCATCGAATATGATAAGAGTGCTTCTAAATATTGTTCTGATCAAGGAGGGAAACAATACTTTACTCTCCCGCAGTCTTTGTGTACCCCAAACTAGAGTTACAAGAGACCTCACCTACAATGCTCCCTCTATGCTGTGGAGTCTTGTGAACAAAAATTCCACTTTGTGACCTAGTGACATTAAAGTTGCAAGCGAGCAATTTGGCTCCTGCATAAATTAGTTTGCTCTGGAGCCCTCCTTCCTGAGCTAAGACAAAAATCTGTGAGCCAGAGGCTAAAGAACTGTGAGCTAGCTCACACTAACTCAGCTTAGATGGAAAACTGCTCACCTAGTGTTGGGGCTCTCTCTCTTGTAAAATAAATAATCTTGCTTTTGTCGTGGTTTTAATCTGTTAACAGACTGAGCACTTAGGGGCTCAGTACTGCAAGTTGCTTACTGCTTTCTCTTTATTTTGTTACAGAACAAAATTAATCATACAGTATTAAAGGACTTGCTTGATCCCATCAAGGAGCTTTATGAAGATGTAAAGAGGAAAGCTTTGATGAGATTGGAATATGAAGGGCTGCACAAGAGCGAGGCCATCACAACGCCGGGCGTTCGGTTTTATAATGACCCTGCTGGATATGCCATGAACAGATATGCGTATTATGTTTGTTACAAGTGCAAAAAGGTATGGCTCCAGCGCTGAGACTAATTTGGGAGGTTAACCAGAAAGTGAGCTGTTGAGAAGCTGGCGCTGTATGAATCAAACTCTGGCTTCGTTCAGACTTAAAAAACAAACTTTGGGTTGTTTGTTACAAGAATGAGGAAGGAACAAAGGTACAGGAATATGCTAGGAGAGAAAACTTAAAACGCAGTGCACATTCCTGTCTTGTCCAAAAGACCTTGAGTTTTTGAAAATTCCTGTTGAGCAGAAAGCCGTATAACTCATACGTACACTGTTCAGTTTTCAGAACCTTAATTCGGCATATTCACTTGTGCATATAAATTCTGAGTCTTTTAAAGAAAGGGGGAAGGCACAGCACACAACAAAAGGTAATAGTGTTTGGCAAGTTTTCTGAAAAAGAACTTGCTAGTTACCCATCATAATATTTGTATTTGTCATGTCATACAAATGATGAACTTGCACTGTGAGAGCCAGTTTGGTGTAGTGGTTAAGTGTGCGGACTCTAATCTGGGAGAACTGGGTTGGATTCCCCACTCCTCCACTTGCACCTGCTGATGTGACCTTGGGTCAGCCACAAGCTCTGGCACAGCTGTCCTTGAAAAAGAGCAGTTTGTGTCAGAGTTCTCTCAGCCCCACCCACCTCACAGGGTGTCTGTTGTGGGGAGGGGAAGGGAAAGGAGTTTGTAAGCCACTCTGAGACTCCCAAGTGAAGGGCGGGGTATAAATCCAATCTCTTCTCTTCTTCTTCTTCTTCTGTGTTTTGATTTTTTCCCCACTCCCTTTAGTATGTTCCTGTGCCTTTGTTCTTTCCCGTGTCTTAGAGGGTTGTCTCTTTTTTATTGAATCTCTGTCATGTTACAAGAACAAACCTTGCCAGCCTTAAAGCCCATCATTGACAGCTGGGATGCTGAAGATTTCCTAGTTCCTGAGGAACTGTGGTACACCTTGATATCCAAGTGACAAACTGGGGGTTGTGCTCTTGCATACAAAGCAGGATTTTCTGCAGATTCCTGGTCCGTAGGCATGAGGATGAACTGTAACTGCTTGTTTTCTCAAATTTGGATGTTAAGACCAGCTCTGCTTTCTTGGGAATTGATCAGTCTCCCCATATGTGAGCTGAACACAAAGGGAGAGGGCAGTGCAGGCAAGGCTGCAGATATCCAAGGCTTGTTCTTACAATGAACAGACTTCATTAGTCTGAACAGAGACCCTGTCATTTTGAGTAAGAGAGAAAATGCACCCTGCATGATAAAAATCACATGCGTTGTACATGTTTGAAGAGATACATGAACTTGCTGCACTAGCCAGACAAAAAGGGGGGAAATGCCAGGTGATAGTTGACTGATATATTGTACAGTATATATGATATTATATTGTACAAAGTTTCAATGTGTTTCACCATGCAGGCTTCATCAGGGGGACTTAGAGCATTTGCCTAGTGCTGCAATGATAGTTCGGGCACAAGGTGAATGCTCCAATGCTACACGGCGAAAAACGTAGAAACTTTGTACAATAATAAATAGTCAGCTATCAGCTGGCATTTTTCCGCTTTTTGTTCTGCAGGCTAAAATCTGCCCATCTTTAAGGATGACGGTTGTAATCCTAGGCGGCAGCCGGCCTGTTTCCGTGGGGCATTAGCTTGACATTATAATAGACATGTCAAATTTCAGAATGCATCTTGATGCCTGATACGTTGAAAAGTATACAGTTATGTAGTTCTGCTGGGCAGGGAAATGAAGCAAGAATGAAAGAGAACACAGCCAGCCCAGCGCTTAGTTTTCTCATTCTTTCTCTGCTGTATCCTGCCTGCTGTACTGCCCCTACTGTCTGATATGGGACCTTGAGAGACTAAAGCAGTTTAAATATCATCATTTGTTAAGCCTGGAGAAGGTTTAGACCAGGGGTGTCAAACATGCTGCCCGGGGGCCGGATCAGGCCCCCGGAGGGCTTCTATCAGGCCCGCAGTGGAACTGGCTGTCTTCTGCTTCTTCTTCCAGTTCTGCTGCTGCTGCGTCATTATAGGTTTGCAGCTTACAGATACACACCTGAACAGCATACTCAAGATTGCAACAGAACAGACATTTTGATGCAATAATTCAGAGCAAGAGGTGTCAGTTAGACACTGTTAAATAAACAAAATATAGCAAGAGTGCTAAGTTTTTAAGAAAAACCCTTTGTGTTTGTGTCCTTTATAAAGTTTATATCTCTGCTACCTGTCCTTACATTTTATGACACACATGGCCCGGCCCAACAAGGTCTCATTTATGTCAGATCCGGCCCTCATAACAAATGAGTTCGACACCCCTGGTTTAGACCTCTGCAGTGGGACAGGGACAGACTGTACGAGATAATGGCGTGCATCACCGGCTTCCCTTACCAGATGAGAATTATTTTGGAGATGCCACAAGCTAACTTTGTGGGGCTTCACGTTTCACGCCCAAGTTATTTTTTATTTCTTCCTTAGGCTTATTTTGGTGGAGAAGCCCGTTGTGATGCTGAGGCGGGCCAGGGGGACGACTATGATCCGAGGGAGCTCATTTGTGGTGCCTGCTCTGATGTTTCCAGGGCTCAGGTAGGCAAGCCTTTTCACAGGGGCCTAACCTCTGGAAAACCTTTCAGATATATAGAAAGCAAGACACCACACTCTGCTGAGATGAACACACGGGTTCTCCCCTTTTTCCTCTCCACAGATGTGTCCTAAACATGGTACAGATTTTCTAGAGTACAAATGCCGCTATTGCTGCTCTGTGGCTGTGTTTTTCTGCTTTGGGACGACACATTTCTGCAATGCTTGCCATGACGACTTCCAAAGAATGACGAGCATTACTAAAGAAGAACTTCCACATTGTCCTGCAGGTAACATTTTAGTGTACAATTAAGAGAACCTGTATGGTGTATGTCGGAAATATATGTGTTGCAAGGTGTAAAATTTAGTCATTATAAGGTTAATGTGCTTACATTGTGTGCTATTGTTTAGACTGACCTGGAAGGGAACCTGACACAGAGTCAATGGAGAGAAAGCCCGGGAAACTGAAGCCTACTTACTAACAATCATTGGTTAATACATTCAGATGATTTCCTTCTAGGGGTCAAGAAGAAGAAGAAGAATCTCCATTGTTGTAGACCGTATGGTCAAAGATGTAGTCTTAGGTGTCTTTGTTGTTTTGTGTCAGGCTAAAGGATCTGGAAGACCCCGGTTCAAATCCTCACTCTGCCATGGAAGCTCACCAGGCGACCTTGGGCCAGTCACAGCCTCTCAGCCTAACCATCATAAGGATAAAACGGAGGAGAGGAGAGGCGTGCAAGCTGCTTCGGGTCCCCTTTAGGGGGGAGTAAGGCCGGGGATAAATAAATAGCGTATCGTGGGGGGGGAGTTGTTGTTGTTGTTTAAGCCCCCCGGGAGGGGATTTTTTATTATTTTTATAATACTACACAAACTACAAAGAAAAAAGGGGGGGGCTACACTAGGGAGAAAGGAAAGTAACCCACACTAACTAAAAACCCAAGAGTAGGAGATCATTACCCTGTTAAACTACAGTTAGTAATAAAAAAGCTGTTAGTAAACAATATACTTTGTGAGATCCTGTTTTTCTAAGCTTATATGTTAGTTTATTACTTGTTTTTAGAAGATCCCCAGAACATCTCCTCCAGCTCGCTTCATAAAGGCAATTTTCAGAGTCCTTCTGCCTTTACATCTATGCTAATTCTCTCTACAATCTTGATGGCTTCTTAGACGTTCACTTAGAAATTCTACAACCCAGTCTTCCTCTGTCTCCAAAGGGATAAAACCGCCGATCTTCAGCCTCTTCCTCTTTGGTCTCATCCTCAGGGCCCAGTGGCATCTCAAAGGCTTCTTGATCTTGGGGGCAGATTCAAACTCTTTTTTATCATCTGGATTTAAGATGATGCTTTCTGAAGACACCTGCAAGGAAGTAATTAAGTCCTTGTAATTTTCTGTTTCTCTCATGCTTTTCCTCCTTGTCTCTTTGAGATCGCTGTTAGTTTTAGTGTCCATCTCTTTTACTTTGACAGCCCTCTGTTCCATTTTTCTGCTGTTGTTGCCGACTGCAGCTGCCGGGACATGAGTTGTTGATTTATCTTGGCAACCTGATGGTTAATACCAACAAGTTGCTCCAGAATCGGCTTGGTGGGGTGGCTTCGTCTATGAGTTCTATAACGTTCACTTCCCTTCTTCTCGGAGTTGTTTTCGCTGACTTTTTTAGAGTGACCGCCATTATATACCGCCATTATAACACTTGATTTTCAATATAAAATTGTTTTCTCCCCGGCTCTGAAAATCGCTTATATGCTTTTAAAGTCCTTCCAAAGTATCCGTTTGCAGTCGCCTCTCCCCCCCCCTTCCACTTATGTAAATGAGTCAGACAAGCATCTCTCTCTCAGCACGATTCCAATCGCTCAAGAGGTTTCGGGGGGGGATTCTCGCTTCAAAGTATCCGTTTACAGTTGTCTCTTTCTCTCTCTTTCTCTCTCCCTCCCACCTCCACTTATGTAAATGCGTCAGAGAGGCGTCCCTCTCTCAGCACGGTTCCAATCACTTAAAAGGTTTCGGAGGGGGGGGGATTTACGCTTTTATTTACAATTCGCTCATTTTAACTCACAGTTCATTGTTGGTCTTTATCCTGACCATGCTCGTAATCGCTCCTTCGCCAGATCTCCTGCGCTTGACTGGGTCGGCACAGCTTGTGCCTCGCTAAGAGGACGCAGACAGCGGGGGGGACCGTCAGGGCGGAGGGCAGCCTCAATTTCCCTGCAGATAGCAGGAAAAGAGGCTCACCCTCAAAAGCCCCATGGCCTGGGGGGTCTCCCTGACCCCCCGTGGAGATGCCGATCCAGCGGCACTCCTCCCCTCCGCAGCTGTGCGGTGCGCTTTCCCGGAACAACGGGAAAGATGTCCGCCATTGTTGTGCCGTAGACTCCGCCAATATAAATAGCGTATAGTTAAGATACATAAGCTCTTTGGAAATCAGCCAGTGTGCCAAATAATTCTGCCACCTTCTCTTATTACCTTGCTCTTCCAGAAAAGCTTTAGAAGCACAAGGAGAAAATTCCTTCATGCAGCAGGCCAGAGTCTCTGGTTTGTTCTGTTCCCTCTCAATCCTGGTGTGGAATCTTGTTTTAAAGAAGGGAGCCACAGTGCTTGATTTGAATTAAAGAACAAGTTGGTTTCCCATGGCTAATTTTCAGACTGTATGTAAAGGGACTGGGGAGGGGAGGGTTTCGGAGACTCGTTCCCAGAACAACAAACCACATAAGTCATGGCCAGTTAAATAATAGCAGCTTCCTGTGTATTCCCAAAGGGAGATTCTCAATTGGCCGCTTTCTCCCAGCATGCCTTTGTTGTGTAACCTAAGATTGTTTGCACCTAGAACAGTTCTAACCACATTGCACAGCAAGAACTTCCTCTGTTATCTTAAAGGTCAAGCTGCAGAGTAACGCCTTGACCTCCTCCCCATTTTGGATGTTTTCGAAACCACAGGAAGCATTCTTTGTCATTCAGAAGGTGACAGTATCACATTGTGAGCTTTGGTCGGGCCTGAGGAAGGTGCTTCGAAGTCCCTTGCTCGGCTACAGGAGTCGCAAGGCACTTCAGGCAAGGAATCCTGGTGCCCGCAGTTAGTTTTGCAGCCTGCCTGAGACTCTGAGGGCGTGCCTCGTCAAGCTGCCCCGCAGCAGGCAGCTCTTGGGAGACACACTCGCTGTCAGCACAAGCCTCCCGTGCTTTGCCAAACCAGCTGCTCCGGCTTGTGCCAGACTCTCCTCCTACAAAGCAAAGCCTGCTTTCCGCAAGCAGAAGATCAAGGCCACTTCCACATGACAGCGTTTTCCCGAGGAAGCTCTGGTGTCACCACAACTGCCAGTGCAGTGGAACAGCAAAGGGCCATCCGGCTGGCACCTTTCCCTAGATTGTCCAGTCTCCGTGGTGGCCACCCTGCCCCAAAAGGGGTTTCCAGAGGTTGTTTTATATATACATATCCATCCATCCTGTAATAGGCATAGAGGTAAAGGTAAAGGTTCCCTTGCTCGAAAGCCAGTCGAGTCCGACTCTAGGGTTGCGGTGCTCATCTCCGTTTCAAAGCCAAAGAGCCAGCGCTGTCCAAAGACGTTTCCGTGGTTATGTGGCCAGCATGACTAGACACCAAGGCGCACGGAACGCTGTTACCTTCCCACCGAAGTGGTCCCTATTTATCTACTTGCAATTTCTTGCTTTCGAACTGCTAGGTTGGCAGGAGCTGGGGCCAGAGACGGGAACTCACTCCGTCACGCGGCACACTCGGGTCTCGAACTGCCGAACTACCGACCTTCCAGTCTGCAGTTCAATTGCCAGTTTTTCCAAAAATGTCCCCTGGTGGCATGTGGAAGGGGTGTGGCTGACAGGAGGGCCAGGGCAGGGGAAATGGCTGCCATGTGGGCAAGACCGGGGAAATCCTGCCTTTCCCCACCCACATGGCAGCCAGCCTGGATTTGCTGTGATCTTCCCTAAAACAATGTGTAAAAGCGTTTGGGGGGGGGGGGGGGGAATGGCAGGAAAGTCAAGGAAAGCCTGACCGGTGCACAGACGCACCACAGTGTTGTAGGGAAGGAGGGGGGAACCCTCCCCCCACTTCCCAACCCCATTGAGCACGGAGTGAATCACCAGTGTGGCCTAAGTCTCTGTCTCAAGCCCTCACCAAGCGTAGACTTTCTGTAGCACAAGGCTGTGCTCAGGAGGGCTTTGAGAAGTGGGTCTCGACTATGAAAGTTTAGTTGAGAGGCTCCTTTAATTTTAAAAAAACAACACCAAACTTAAGGCCCCGAGTTCTATACCTGGACCTGGATGGCCCAGGCTAGCCTAATGTTGTCAGCTCTCAGACGCTAAGCAGAAAAGTCAGCCCCGGTTTGTACTTGGCCAACCAACTCTGTTAGTCCCTTGCCTTGAAAACCCTACAGGGGTCACCATAAGCTGGCTGTGACGTGACAGCACATTATGCACACCCAAGTTCTGTAACGTCCTCTTGAACATTACTCATTTCTGGATGTTTGGGCAAATTCTTTTCTGTTTTATGCAGATGTCATGTGAACTTAAAACTGGTTTCCCCCCCCCCCCCCCCCCCCAAGGCCAAGGGCAAGCAGCTTGAAGGAACCGAATGTCCCCTCCATGTCGTCCATCCCCCCACTGGTGAGGAGTTTGCACTAGGTTGCGGAGTCTGCAGAAATGCGCATACGTTTTAATTTGCCCGAAGAAAATGACGGCTGTTGTCCAGTAAGTGTCCTCTGGGCTGAATAGAAACCTCAGCTAGAATGAGGAGATGGGACCATTTCATAAACCAGGGAAAGGAACAGTTCGCAGCGTGAGAAGGGTGCCAAACACCACATCTGCATTGTCCTTTGCTATGAGGCGGTTGACATTTTTTGACCCAAGACATCCAACCTTGTGAGGTGTTTGCATGTGGACGTTACGCTCATCAGCTACAAAAAGCATTGGACACTGACAAATAAATAAATTGCTGTCAAAGAAGCGTTCAAAGGCGCTCTGTTTTCCGTGGACTCCAAATGATGCTGGATATCAGACGAAGAAAAAAAGTTAATTATTGTATACTGACTTTTTTTTTGTAATCCTGTACAATTGTAACTGCATCACGGGTAGGGACGGAGAAGAGGAATATTCTGGTTTATTTCTTAGACTGTTATTAAAAAAAAGAAAAGTGTTAGGAAGGCATAAATGTAACCAGTATCACGCTGTATATAAAGATATCAATGTTTGTCCTGTATAAGAATTACTAAATTGCAAAGCCAAGCCGTTGCATTTACACTTCTCTGGGTTTATGTTTGAGCCTGAAATTTTAATGAAGTGCAATACTGAGTGTGCCTCATATCTCTTGCAGCTGTAAACATGATGGAATGTACATGTCAATAAAGCCGCTGTACATTTTTATACAGTGAAAGTCTAACAAATGGCGTGGGACCATTATTGGGGAGCAACTAAAAATGTCTCTTTGTTAAAACCAGGGCAGAAACGAAATGTTTTTTTGATGGGCTGGCTTTACAGAACTGGAAAGTGTGTGGCACCGTAACTGTAGCTTAGGGCAGGAAGCTTCCTGGAGGCTAACAGGTTCGCTATTTCATACCAGGAACCACTGTCTGATCTGCGACCATGGTTTAGAGCCAAAGTCTCTTTGATCCTTCAACAATATGGAGAGTTGCAAGGCAGAGAAGGATTGTGGGAATTCCCCTTCCTTGTATTCACGTCCTCCTTCTGTTGTTATGAACTGAACATCACACAACTGAACTGACCTGCAAACAGCAAGCTTGTAATGGGAAAGGGAGTTCCAAACAGAATTGGGGGGGGACGGACCTTTCTTTGAGATGGTATAAATACCATGAAGTTTTCTGGACACTTTTGACTTTGTCCTCCTCACGGAACTGCAGAATTTCCTGAGGGGGTTACTAGAAGTGGTGGGGGAATTAACCTGACTCTTAATTGGTCTGTTTTACTTGAATAAACGTCTCAAGGGAAGCGTACAAGTTAAAAAGTGCTGTGCTTTCCCCGCTTATCTAGTAATTTGCAGATTGCAGCAAACTCTCATGATCTGCTTGACCGGTGTGCCAGGGGAAAGACTGCATTCTCTCTTGAGGGGAGGAAGACACTCTGATACGCTTGGGTTCCTCTTTCCACAATCCCTAGAGGCAAGAAATCGATTCCACTCTCCATCTCTGGGGAGAGGAGCCCACCCCCAGCCTTTTTCCTGCCTCTGCCTGAGAGAGCAGTGGATTTAGAGAGCTCTTGGGATCTCCCTTTAAAGAACTCCTTTGGTTGCATTTTGTGTTTCTCTTTCCTTGTGTGTGCCTTACCCTTTGTTTAAAAAACAAGCGTCCTTCTTCTGGCCTCGTTTGCCTTTTGCCCCCTGCTTCAGTCACTGCGATGTCTCTGACCATGGGACCTCCTCCAAGTAGGGATACCAGACCGCCCCCCCCCCCAGTCTCCTGCTTTCAGGTGCTGCTCTACACACACACACACACACACACACAAACAGGCAAGAAGCTGGAAATAAACAAAATGTGCCTTCATCACCAGAAGTGATGTAGGCACGTGGGGGGGGGGGGACACTGGTTTTTGGGCAAAAACATGTTAGAAGCTAATTCTACCTTAGAGGTTTTGCCCACAAACCAGAGCATCGCCCCAATGTCACTTCTGGGTGATGTGGGCACGTCGCGTTTATTTCAGGCTTCTTCGCTCCCCGCTCCTGGTAAGTTCATCCCTATCCCCTACTGGCTGGTCCAACAGACCTGGCGACTCTACCTCCGAGGGAGAGTTGAAGGAAAAAGAAGAGGAGGAGGAGACTGGATTTATACCCCGCACTTCGCTCGGAGTCTCAGAGCGGCTTACAATCTCCTTTCCCTTCCTCTCCCCACAACAGACACCCTGCGAGGTAGGTGGGGCTGAGAGAGCTCCGAGAGAACTGCTCTTGAGAGCACTGTGACTTGCCCAAGATCATCCAGCAGCTGCAAGTAGAGTAATGGGGAATCAGACCTGGTTCTCCAGATTAGAGTCTGCCACTCGTAACCACTACGCCAAACTGGAGATCCCCAAGCTGCGGAGTAGCAAATCCCTGCAAACCCACCTGCCCAGCTGTCCTGCTGTGGCAGAGCTCCTGGAGAGAGCCACAGGCTGCAAATCGCCTGTCTCGGATCATGAAGAAGCAACCTCGATTTTTGGCTCCAAAACTGTGCCCTCTACTGATCAGCTGGGACAGCCTGCATCTGCCCTTCAGGACTGCTCTAGGCAGCCTTCTGCAGAGCCCTTTGCGGTTGTCGTCCGTCCCCGTCCCCCCCCCAGGCTCCCAGGCCTGGCTAGAGCAGTTTGTCTCCCATCAGCTGGAGAAGGGGAAAAAGCGCTTCTTTACCCTCCGGTATGGGAGGCCTATTCCCCCCCTTACCCCTCCCTCTCCAGTGGAACACCTTCACAAAAATTACCTACTTTAAGGCCTCTAGACACAGAGAGAAATGCCAGGGTGCCTCTTGGCCAACAAAAGGCTGCCTGTAAAAGCACCTTCCCCATTAGGAGCAATTATTCAAACATCTCAGACTGCAGATAGTGATTCCGTCGTCCCCCCCCCCCTTAGGCTCTGAGGATTCTGATGCACATCTGGATCCCCCCCCCCCATCGGTGACAACGCATGAACGCCATGATCACTAGCACACACATACACCCTTTTCTTCAAGCAGGTAAAGGTAAAGGTTTCCCTTGCTCGAAAGCCAGTCGAATCCGCCTCTAGGGATGCAGTGCTCATCTCCATTTCCAAGCCGAAGAGCCAGCGCTGTCCAAAGACATTTCCGTGGTCATGTGGCCGGCATGACTAAACACCAAGGCGCACGGAACGCTGTGACCTCCCCACCGAAGTGGTACCTATTTATCTACTTGCAATTTCTTGCTTTCGAACTGCTAGGTTGGCAGGAGCTGGAGCCAGAGACAGGCGCTCACTCCGTCATGCGGCACTCAGATCCCGAACTGCCGAACTACTGACCTCCCAGCCTGCCCTTCAGCGCCTTAACCACTCAAGCCAACCATTATTTTCCAACTGCCCAGCACATGTATCCATTCAAACATTTGTTTAGCCCCATATATTTTAAAAATTACAAAAACTTTTTTTTAAAAAAATGGTGGAATTGAAAAGAAGGGGTTGTGTAACTGACACGAGAGCCAGCCAAGAAGTGCAATCAGCTGTGCAAAACAAGCCGGGCAGGAATCCTGTTTTGTGACAGCCAGGAGGACTGGCCAATAATTGCTGGGTAATCTGTTGTATTTGGGGAAGGTGTGTCTTTTATGCATGATGTACACTCCCATAGTAGACTCACTCTGAAGTCCTGTCCTTCTGTACATATCATACATCTGTTTTTCAGGGTGGCGGTGAGTAAGCAGGGAGGGGGAACAGCTCTAGTGTAATCTTTCTTTCAGCTTCTAGGTTCTCTAGGTATCCTGGCCCCTTTGCCTTCTAGAAGAGACTTCTCAGACCTTTCACCTCAAATTGGCGCCCAATGTTGGTTAATAAAAAGATCTCCCATGGGGGTAGGCAGCAGTATGGCTAAATAAAAAGGTAAAGGTTCCCTTGTTCGAAAGCCAGTTGAGTCCGACTCTAGGGTTGTGGTGCTCATCTCCGTTTCAGAGCCGAAGAGCCAGCGCTGTCCGAAGACATTTCCGTGGTCATGTGGCCGGCATGGGCTCTTTTTGTAGCAGGAACTCCTTTGCATATTAGGCCACACACCCCTAATGTAGCCAATCCTCCAAGAGCTTACAGAGCTCTTCTTACAGGAGCTACTGTAAGCTCTTGGAGGATTGGCTACATTAGGGGTGTGTCGCTTAATATGCAAATGAGTACCTGCTACAAAAAGAGCCCGCACGGAACGCTGTTACCTTCCCACCGAAGTGGTACCTAATGCAATGGAGGTAAACAAGGAAGAGGAGGAGGCCTGGGATATTATGGAGGCCGGGGGGGGGGGCTGAGCTATGGGGCTGTAGAGCAGGTAAGCAGCAAAAGGATTGGAAGGGGTAAGAGAACAGATGAAGAAGAAGAAGGGAAAAGGCTATGGAAAGGCTGAGGGACTTGGGGACATTCAGTCTGGAGATTGAGTGGGGACATGATTGCTCACTATAAGCAGGGCTATTTTTGGGCAGGAACGCACAGGAACGGAGTTTCGGCTGGCTCCCAAGTTGGCCACGCCCAGCAGGAACTCATTAGCATAATAGGCCACACCCAACAGCAGAAACTCATTAGGATTGGCTACATTAGGGGTGTGTGGCCTAACATGCAAAGGAGTTCCTGCAACAAAAAAAGCCCTGGGTTTTGACAACAAACAAGGTATAAACAGAATAAGAAGCAAAAGGTGGGTGTGGCTGGATGACCACACTTCTGGTAACATGGGGGAGCGGTCTAATATGCTAATGAGCTGTGCTGTCAGGGTGTAGCCTAATATGCTAATGAGTTTATGCTGTTGGGTGTGGCCTGTTATGCTAATGAGTTCCTGCTGGGCTTTTTCTACAAAAAGGACTGTCGCTTAGAGGAGTGCAGGCAGCTGTTCCTGTTGGCAGCAGAGGAGAGGACTCTCAATCATGGGTTTAAATTATGGATGGAAAGGTATCGGCAGGGTATTAAGAATTTTTTATTTTTTACAGAGTTGTGCAGCAGTGGAATCAGCTGCCTAGGGAGGTGGTGAGCTCCCCCATCTTTAAGCAGCGGCTGGACAAACACTGGTCAGGTCCTGCATTGAGCAAGGGTTTGGACTGGGTGGCCTGGAAGGCCCCTTCCAACTCTGTGATTCCAGGATTCTAAGGGTTTCATAAAGACAGAGGAAGTTGATGGGGGAAAAGGGCCACAAAAGGGGGCTGAAGAAAAGTGTCAGAGAGAAGAGGCCGGAAAGGCCTAGATGCAAAAGACCTGGAGAAAATAGGATGGATTTTATACATCGACAATCTGTGGATCCCCAAGGAATCGTGAAGGGAAATTATACCTTCCCGCCCACCCGCTTGCTTTGAGCTCTTCTCCCCTCACCCTTCCCCCCCCCCCCAGTTGATTCTCAAGTGTTATCAAGAGGTTCCATTTTCCGGGAGCATCCTGAGTCTTCCCCAAGCCATTTTTCTGTTCTGTTCAGTTTGCAAGGCCATGTTCTCCTGCCTGTCCCTGGTTCCCCTGGTTACTGTCCACGGGGAGGCTCTTGCCTCATCCATTGGTGGCTCCATTGGGCTCCTTTTGTGAACGGCATGGAGACCGGCCAATTATTAGATACAGTGATTTTAAATGTGCACATCTTGGATTGCACAGCGTTGCCTATCAAATCCCCTATTGCTGTTTTTTTAATTTATCAAAGAAAATGCTACATAAGGCTGGGCATTATATTCCAATATGCAATCAATCATATCCAG